TGCTGCATGTTCTCGGGCACTTCTGGCATTACCCTATTATGTGCGAAAAGGTTAGGTCAGGTCAGGTCAGGTCAGGTTGAGTCAGGTCAGATGATGACGGTCAGGTCACAGAGATGTTGCATAGGTAGAGATAGATGTCTTGCATGCTGTTGGCTGAGAGTAGGATATTGTTTCAAGAGGTAGGTAAAGAGGTAAGTAAAGAGACAAGTAAAGATGCAGGTAAAGACATAGGTAGTGTAGATAGATAGGTGTATGTATAGGCAAGTAGTCTTAGAGGCAATAGATGTAATAGAGGTAATAGAGGTAATAGGTAATGTTAGATTAGTCTTTAAGAAACGTACCTTTGTGGTGACGGGGCTAGGACCTCGGGCATGTAGTAGTCGTCCATACCCCCTGGATAGAAGGTAGCTCCAAAATTAGGCATTTCGAAATCGTCTTCGCTTGTCTGCGGCTGGAGAGAACCTGCATAAATTTAAAGAAAAATGTACTTGTCAGCCTGCCGCTCCTGGGGGCCTATGGGTCACGCCAGTCCGGCTACAGACCGGCGTAAGATGATAAATGTAATGAAGTACTTTGATCTGACTGGTAAAGGAAGAATCCGTTGTTGTGGCGGGGTCCCCTATTTTCCTGGTTTCGACCGAGTGGCGGCCAAAAAACCGTAGTACGCAATAGGTTGTGAGTTGTGGGTTGTGGGTTGTGGGCTATGGGTAATAATGGATTATGGGTAACGAGTTATGAGTTATGAGTTATGGGTTAACTATGGTCAATTGTTTCTCCCCTCTTTAACATGGAGTATGTACCTACAAGACCCTTTGATCGTCTTGATCCGACCTGACCAGTTGAAGGTAAGAGTAAGACCTATATCCTAGGATCCAGGACCATATGGCATATGGATTTCGGAGAATATGTAAGAGTCAGGTAAAGTTGCTGATGAGTTCAATTTCCCATGTCCGGTAACAATAAATAAAAAAGGGGGAAATATTTATCGATTCTGAATAATGTTAAAACTCTCAAGGGTGACGATTGTTTAAGTGCTCCGCGATGGTCCAGACGCTCCTGATTAAGACTGAAATGTCACCACTGAGGGGGGCTCAGGTACATTCGTCCAAACCTACCGCCACTTCCCCAGATAGGTTAGACAGATTTGCTAAGCCCCTTGGTGCTGAGCTTAGAGTATTTTTTTATAGGTACCAGTCTCGGCCAGTCAGGGCATCATTAGTAAAAGAGCTCTAATAAAAGACGGCCCTAAAAGACAGCTCTACATAATAAAAACCGCTTATTGTTAATTCCCGTCACCAGTTTCCTTAGTGAATGCATAACCCAGATACGTCAGATCGTATTCCAACATATGAAGGGTTGTCTTCTAGGTTAGGCAACAGTTGGCTTTTTTGTCGCATATGTTCCTGCATGACTGCACGATCGTCCCGGATCACGGATCGTTACTTCAAGGTTCGGTTCCGGAATCTTAACATCCAAGGGTCCAGCCGGTAGTGGTCTATTGGTGTCCATTGGTGTCCATTGGCATCCATCGAGCCGACAAATCTTAAATCGATATCCGTGCAGGGCCTCATGGGTGGTGTAGGTGATGATAGGGAGGTGTTGTGGAAGGGAAGGGATAAAAAGGGGATCTGTTTACATACCTTGATCCATTTTGGGCTGCACGTCCGCAGTTGGCGTCCTCGGCCGCGCGTTACCTGCTTGAGCCTCCGTCGTCATCTTCACCAGTACGCAAAGCAATCGTATTAGTCTAATTAACGACTACGTAATCCCTGTTGCCGATGTTGAGTACTGCCGATTTGTAGGCAGGGAATCAAGGTCATAATATATAGTGAGAGTTGCAGTAAGGGAGTTGTTAGTGAAGTTAGTCAAAGTTGCACAAGTCCAAGCAGCTGGTTCTTAAGTGTCTACAATTTAGATCCCAAACCATATTCACCCTAGCAACTATCAGGCATATATTTACATATTTGGGTTCAATCTGGGTAGGAGTTGGGAAACAGATGGCAGCGTCTGAAATAAGATGAAGGGACCTCACCCTCCAACGTTGACGGCCGAGATTCCCGCTGTCTACATAGCCAGGGAAGTTGATATCAAGAGCGAAATGAAGCTTCTGCAATCCTTCCATTGTCTAGATGTGGTAAAAGGCAGGGTAAAGATGAAATCATTTGCCTTATTAGTTTATTCATCAATGCTTAAAGTTACCATGCAGGTGTTACAGCCGGTACGATGCCTCATGTTGTAATGCAAGCCAGATGGAGAATATCGCGGCTAGTCCACCATAGCCTCATTATGTTCTATTTCTGGAACAGCACGGTCGTAGCCGCAGCTGAATATACACTACACTACCTAGGATGCACCTAGACTCGGATATCCACTGGTAGCAAACAGCTGACAGCAATCCTCATCCCCCGCTGATCCTTCCGCGTTCTTTATACATACATGCATGGGTTAATGCAGATAGATAATGCCGGATTGAAAGTATGCAAAGAGACGATTGAATAACATGATCTGGTTTTTTTTGGGGGGGTTTTTTTTTTTAATAATATGCATGAACATGACTTATCCTTCCATCTTCCATCCTATGGAGACGGGATAAAAAACCAAGCTGGATCAAGTAATACCAAGAACGATAAACAAGTTTGACACAAACATGTTACTGTCCTCCTTGGATTCTCGAAAGGCACAGGAAAGGCACAGGAACAATGGAAATTCTATAGAAGATCCATTTGCTACAGTTGGCAGGACGGAATGAAACACGACTATATCTGATGTGTCATGTGGATCTAGTCGTTCACCGTTGGGCTCTGGCGACTAATAAACCAATATTTAGTTAGACAAGAATGAAAAAGTGTCCGAAAAGAGCTATAGAGGGTGGCCGATACGTGAGTAACCAGGACCTCGTGGACAATGGACAGTGGGTAGTTGTCAACTGACAAGACCCAGAAAGAGACGAACAAGTAAACAGAGACACACAATCATAAGTAGCTCGTATTAATAGAATAGAAGACATGTCGATTTACGACTTGTAAGTCGTCTTGATAATATTATCAATATTCAATATTGGAATATTGGAATATTGGAATATTTTATATTTTAGGATAAGAGACAAAGGGAAGAGGAATTTGGAGAGGATGAAAATACGAATAAGAAAAAATGGGACTGCAAGCCCACCAGCCACAACGGGGACAAGCAACAGCACATTTCAAAGCTTCAGCCATATGTGGCGCAGAGCTCGTCACTCCATGTCCATTAAGCAAAGTGGATCGGGTTCTTTCGTCAGCCTCTCAGCCTGTTGCTTGCCTTGCCTCATCACCAAACCGATAAATCCACCTTCACCAAGTCCCCAAGACCAAGCAGCAGCAGCAACAACACTACCATTTTCCATCCGTCGTATTGAATTTGCCTCGTCTGAATATCCTTCAGAATCACCAATTGGGAGATCCGAGCTTGCGAAAGCTCCGCAGTCGTATTCGCACTTATCTTCGCCAGCGACGCCGACGAAGCTACTACAGCAGCCCAACGGCACCACCACCAGCGAAGCCGTCACCCCCGTAGCTCTCTCATCCTTGCCGTCCACAGCGCCATCCTCGCCATTACTCCCGCCTTCGTCGTTATCGCCGCCGCCGCAACGCACCAACATGGCCGAACGAACGCTCCAGCAGATCCTCAACCAGCTGCGCTCGAATCCCGGGCTGCCCTACCCCGAAGCATCCTCCCTCCTCTCCAAAGCCAAGATCCAACTGCTCCAGCTCAAGGCCGCTACGCCCGGCGCCCCCGGGTCTGCCGACACCTCTCCCCAGAACCTAGCCCTCGCCCGCGACGTCTACGAGCAGGGCGCCCTCTTCAGCATCCGCGCGCGGAACCCCGACGCTTTCACCCGCTACGTATCGCAGCTGCAGCCCTTCTACGAGCTGCCGGCTACCGCGGCCGGTGGCGAGCGCAACAAGGTGACCGGTCTATACCTATTGTTGCTGCTGACGCAGGGCCGCTATGCCGAGTTCCACTCTGAGCTCGAGACTCTGAGTACTAGGGCTAAGGAGAATGGTGCCGGCGAGATCGAGGGTGACCGCTTCCTGGGGTACTCGATCAACCTGGAGCGATGGCTCATGGAGGGGAGCTACGACCGTGTGTGGAAGGCTTTAAAGAGTCGGGAGGTGCCGAGCGAGGAGTATGGTGTTTTCTCTGAAGTGAGTTTATATTTTCTACCCCATGCATACCTCCATACCTTATCCCATATATATACTCTATTTTCCCACCCTATCCCCCCACCATCCCCCTCCAAATCAAGCCGTATATCACACAAACTAACCCCCCGCCCACAGATCCTAACATCCCAAATCCGCTCCGAAATCGCCTCGAGCAGCGAGCGAGCATACCCCTCGCTACCGCTAAGCAGCACCAAGTCCCTCCTATTCCTCGACTCCGAAGGCGCCGTCGTCGACTTCGCGCGCCACCGCGGCTGGGTCGTCCGCGACGGTAACATCTACTTCCCCACATCCGCCGCCACCGTCGACGGCGAGCCCATCAACGTCGCCTCCGAAGCCGACGCCGGCGAAGAAAAGGAGTTCAGCCGCATGGTCATCGAGAACGCCCTCGGCTACGCCCGCGAGCTCGAGACCATCGTCTAGCCAGGTTGTCCCAACCACAGCTCAAAGCCCAAGATAAAGAGAGCTACACGTGAAAGTTGCCCTACCTGCCCCTTACGAGCTAAGCTGGGCCCATAATGGGAACTGGCCCCTGGAAACAAAAAAAAAAACGTCGAGAATTCCGGTGCCGTGTGAAGGCTCGACTAGCTAGCTACCTACGCGAGAGGGGGTGAGAATTCCGATACACTTAATAATATCCGTCGTAGGAGACGAGCACGAGATAGATACGCTAGGTGAACCGCTTATAGAACAGGTCAGAGGTTTCCTGGGCCTCTGTATGGATAAGCATAAAATTAAGCATCAATAGCTAGTATGAACGTATTAATGTGAGGCTTCGTCGGGAATTAAGCGCTACTTTTCCTAATCGTATGAGCAAGAGTCCCTAACCTAACCTAAGGTGCCTGCTATCATGATAATCGTCATAACATAGAAACGAGACGCATCAGTCACCTCCCTAAACAACACAATTACCACTATTTACATGCATCGGTCCGACGATTGTATGAATAGGTAGGTTTCATTTGATTAGGCAACTCCTCGTTCCAGCTTTCTACATAAATATATGAATCATTTTAGCCCCTGGCCCCGGTCCCAGCGACAATGACTTTTTTTCCTCCGGCCACGTCCACAGAGAGTACGACTCGTAAGATTCATCATTACCTACTCCACAGCCAGGCTAGGCTAAACTATCAAACACCCTCTTTTATCTAAGCGAATAACTTGAGACCACTGCCGTGCTTTCCGACCTCGCACACCTCGCAGACTGCGCAGACGGTACCCTTGTACTTGGCATGGTACTTGGATCCGTCGAACGCACACTCCTCATACGGGGAACCGCTGTAGATAGGCGTGTGGCTGGCAGCACAGATCTCGAACTCGGCGAACTGGTCGTATTCAATCTCTACCGCGTCATGCGGGTTGCGCTCGCATTGTGCTTTTATCCTTCGTGCCTGTATATCGAATTAGTTAGGTTACATACAATATCGGAAAACCAAGAATACTTACAGTCTCGAGAATCCTTTGAGCACCGCCATTGGCCAGGATGCGGTTTGCAAAACTCAAGGCGGAGCTGAAGTTCTTGCTCCTAGACGCTAGGTTCATAGCATTGAGAAGAGCAAGTTGTCGGTGGGGAACTTCGATCTTAGGAATTGTAAAGTATGCAGACAGCTCAAGGCTTCGTTTGAGAAGCGCAGGGTTGCCGTTAACGGCATCCGGAGGACCTAGCTTTCTTCGTGAGAGTTCGATTGACATGGCGACGGTGTATTCGCTTGCCGAAGTGATGAGCTTCTTAGCTTCTGCTACCTCACTTTCGCTCGCAACCGCGTTTGCGAGCATGGCGTGTAAGATACTCTTAAAGATCTGAACACCCTCTTCAAGTTTGTTCGTCTTCATCGCGTCATATCCCTTATGTAGATCGGTAGTGGCAAGATGCTCGATGTCTCGAGGGATGATAGGCAGAACTTTCCTAGGATCCGTCTCTTCCAAAGTCCGGCGAACATAATTAGCTAGAGGCGGTAACCCAGGGGATGCGGGGAGGAAGGTCCTCGACGCGGAATAAATCTCCAGGAAACGTGGCTTGAGCGGAGCAAAGTTGACAGCGCCAACTTGCCTGTTAAGGAGGTTCATAGCAGACTCGAAGGAGCCTGCAGCGATGTGATCCGCAGCTAAGGGAGAATTGCGAGCCCACAGGTCAGCCTCGCTGCTTCCAGCTCCTCCGGCGTCTGTACTCTCAACGTTAACGAAGTCGCTGTCAGCTTCGGGAACGATGTCCTCGCCCATGTCCCATCCGGCCGCGTCCTCATCGTCTTCGCCTTCCAACCCGCCATTTCGCTTAGTAGCAACATCCTCATCAACAGCCTCATCCAGAATTCCATTGCCGGCTGCCGAAGGCTCCTCCTCGAGAGTTATACCTTCAAGTTGACTGGCAAGGGCCTTCTCAAAGAAGGATTGCGAGGTCGCCTTTGTAGGCCAGTTGGCCTTGTACGTCGGGACAACCGGCTTCGGAGGAGTGAGGTTCTCGCCAAAGGTAGGCAGCGTTAATTGCTCTTCAGTAATACCAGCTGCCTCTAGGATCGATTGGCACTCTTCCTCGAGGCCATGTGCTTTGGCTGTCATATACGCCAGAGGGTCTGCAAGTTTATTAGTTTTCCCACGTCAATAATAATCCAAAGGCGCAACTCACATAAGTCGATCTCTTTGAACATCTGTATCCTGTCCTCGACTTCACCTAGGTATAACGCGTTTTGGAATCTCGCGGTAAAGTCACCCCGATGCTCGGCAATCTTAGCCATCCTTGACAGTTTCGAATGGTCACCAGTTGCGAGATATAGGAAAGAAAGCTTGTCGAACTGCTTGAGCTTCTGGTAAGCCATCTCCACGACCTGGTGGTTTCCATGGGCCAAAGCCTCGGCGCCTAACCTCGTCCAAAGCTTAGGTCGGTCTAATTCCTTGGCCATCTCTACAGCCACGTCAAGGTTGCCACATTCAATGGCAAGTTCGAAACGAGTGGTTGGGTCCTGTACGAATTGCAAAGCGATCTCGGGGTATCCTTTCTTCTGTAGGTACGAAATGATAGATTGGCCGACCAAGCTAGAAGTGCGTATAATGTGAAGCATCTCCTCGTAGTTGCGCTTTACCAGCGACAGCTTGAAGCGATACTCGGTCGGATCGATGTGAAGGATCTTAGGCCTAGCGGCGCGGTCGAGGCAGTAGACATTTCGGCCCTTGACTCTCACGAGGTAGACTGTCTGGTCAAGGGTCCTAACAATGCCGTTGTCACCATTCATAAGAGTGTACTTGACGTGGTTCAGGGTAGAGTACAGTAGGACTCCCGCATCATCCCAAGTTGCGCTCTTGATCCTGATGGTCTCGTGTAAAGTGCTAACCTGTTCGAGAGTCTTCGTCACAATGGTAACGTTGTGTTTGCTCAAAAGTGCTGCATGAAGACCATCGTTCGACCAGACAACATACTTGACACCATTCACCAACAACTCGGCGATGCTCTTCTTCTGCTGAATGTCGTACAGGTGAACCGCGGTAGGAGTAATTATAAACAGGTTTCCAGTGCCGCCAAAGTAGATATCGGTAGTTCCAGGAGGGGGTTTAATGCTTCTTGCCGTATTATTAGAAAGATCTTTAATGTCGATGGTCTGCGTGGACGTGTCGAGTACGGCAAATCGGTTTCGAGCCACAAAGATAGCCGAGTTACCTGATCCGCTCTTGGAATCAGTCGCTTCCAACGCACCAGAGCCGTCTCGAGGAAGGTTAATTAGTTCATATTTGCCACCCTCGGCAGGAGATGTTATGAGAACAGAACGCTCAGCCGGGTTGTAAGATAAGGTGCGAGGAGGAACCCAAGCGCTACCGAGTCGCTTCAAGGATAGCAACGTTGGACTCTCGGCGTTCTTTTGGAAGTCGTAAGAGCGGACGTGTTTCTCTTTCGTGACGAAAAAGAGCGAATTCTGGTGAACAGTCGACGCTGGACGCTCGCGTTCGAGTTTGAACACCATCACACCATTGTCGTGACCGGCAGCAAACAGGTTGATTTCAGGGTGCGCCGCGATGACCCAGAATCGGTCGTTTTCTCGTTTAAATGATTGGACAGCAGTACGCTTTTGAGAATCCCATACTCGAATCGTCTTATCCTCGCCACAGGACAGAATTAAATCTTGATGAGGGTGGAACAAGCAACCGGAAGCATTCTGGAAATGTCCACGGCAGGTATCCACCTCCCAGGCCTTCGTCTCGCTAAATCGCCACAGCTTTATAAGACGGTCATCGCCAGCGGAGACGATATGCGGCGCCGTCGGATGAAAAGCGACCCAATTTACACCCCGGTCGTGACCCTCAAGTACGAACTTCACCATCGCGTCCGTGTTACCGAACATGTCGGTCTGCTGAGCGTTCGAACGGGCGACCTGGTCCTCGAAGGACATAGAGGTCGGGGCGGAGTGCTTCTTTCGTAGACCAGATATATCCCAGACACGAACGGACTGATCGAGAGACGCGGATACTACGAGGTCGTCCTTCGGGTGAAACTGGGCGCACATTACGTAGTGATTATGGCCAGTCATCGTGCAAACTAGATCAACTGTTAGCACATATATCCGAAGCCTAGTTTCCTTCGGAGCTCATACTTAATGACCGATTTTGCCAGTTCCATATTCGGATCGTCTGGTCGTCGGATGCTGATATGATCCACGGCAGCTCGTGGTGGAAGAAGACTGTTCGTACGTAGTCCAAATGCCCATTCAGAGTAAACAGACATCTTCTCGTCTGATAAGACCAGACTTTGATCTTGTAGTCGTCGCCACCGGAAACGAAGAGAGGTTGTGTCTTGTGGAAATCGACGCCTCGGACGGGACCATCATGCTCTTCGAAACGATCAATGAGAGTTCCCATGCGGTAATCCCACAGCTGTATGGTCGACGAGTGTAGCGATACGAGAATCCATGGTCTAATTGCTCTCGGATTAGCAACGAATAGCGGTGACGATAGTCAAAGATATAGCGAAGAGGGGATGCTCGAACCTCTTTGGGTGAAAGGCAATACCTTTCGCTCTCGAGGACTTGGACTCGAACTATAACAAGGTGCGTCAGTGTATGCTTTAAGGGTATGCGACCAGCTTGAGGACGTGCCAATGGAGTATGTACCTTTGTTAGCATTCCCGAAGAGGCCTGCATTGTGAGGACGGTAGAGGCAGCAGGAAGCCCCTAAGCTTGTGTCATGAATGGGCAGAAGAGATGCGCCCAGTTAGAATGGCGGCTTTAAGAAACGGTCGGAAGAGAATTATGTAGTGGTAACGGGTGGTGGAGAGCTGTAAGGCTCTAAAAGTTGATCTCTTAATGCCAACTCTGGGGATTAAGTGCTTTAGACACAATTCGTGAAGTACATGGAAGTCAATTCGTGGCCCCAAAAGTGACGGTGGATTAATTCTTAGCCAGGTTCTAAACGTTGCAGTGTTTCTAGGCTAAGTGGCTAGACTAGAATGTGGCTTTAGTGATCGGAAAGTAAATATTCCGGGTCCAGCCATTAGGTAATTCAACCCCACTAGGTACATAGGTAACCTAGTAACCTACATATTACGTGATGTTGCGCAAGGCTGTCCCGGCAGTACTATTTTTAACTTCATTTTTAAGCCTCAGCCTTGTTATCGATATAGCCATTGATAGACATATCAAATTAATATTCGTGATTGAGTGTGTCGAGTATTATTTAATCATGAGTCTATCAAATCAGGAAATAAAGTGCAGATCGTATTCTGTCCTTCCATACTTTCAAGTTTCTGGCACCCTTGTTGTGCTTGTGTCATTCTTCATCGTTGACTTGGCTCTCATTCATCGTAGATATTCAGAATAGAATATACTCTTTTATCTCGCACATCACATCACAAACAACATCTTTAACTCATTCTGCCATATCATGCGTCAGGTTTCGCATTTCCCGAGGAGGGTTGTACTTTAAAGCCAACGCCCTTTGCCGTTCTATATCCACCCTAACCTTCTCTAATGTTTCAATCAAGTCTCTCATTACTCTTTTACAAAGAAGCGGCGAGGAAGGCTCAAGATCGCGTGAATGATTCATGTTGGCGTGAGAGGCTCTGCCCTGGTTGTCGGTTGCTTAAGCTTGTACTTCGGCTGGGAATGTGAAAGCGTAACTATTCGATGCTGCTGAGGAAACATTATCAACTAAATCCTCAGCTAGTAAAAGTAGGTGCCAAGCGTACCGAAGATGCCACAGGCAGAGAACATGGGACTGTGGGACGGGCAATTACGATATTCTTGCAGTGCTGGTAGAAGGTCTACCGCGGCAGTGTTAGAACCTCCCTTATCTAATATCACCTTGAAATATATTACCTGCCTCCTCAAATAAAATCCTGATTGCCTACAGATTTGATCAGCAATGGCATCGATATAAGTGTTTAGTACCTACCTAGGTAGATATGTAGTTGGGTAAGTAAGATAGTTGACTACCAGCACAGCTTCTGATATTGAAGCTATCCCGAAAGAAAATAATCAAGTGCTTACTTTCTCAGTCTCTTAATATTAGAGATACCTCTTCTTATCGTGCAATTAAATAGACACAATATTCCAGTAATACCTCTTAAGTACGGAGTTCCGCCTCTGCTTATACTTTATATTAACTGTCTACGTTTCAGTTTCAGGTTACTCATTCCATGTAAGCAGTCGCCAACTTATTTCTTGTTATGATAGCTCCTCTTTCTTTAACATACATCTAATCCATCTAATAATATTCATCTCAATTCACATACATCTACATATCTTCTACATCGCATCCTCCACCTTTCTTTCCCTTCTTGTGTCATTCACACACAAAGCCCCTTCTTCAATTTTACATAGGTATATTTTATACCGCCAGCATCTTTGAGAGTCATCAATTCCCAGGTTTATATATCCGTTACCCCATCTCACGCCGGAAAAGCCGTACTGTAAACTACAAGTCTTCCACATCGTCATAAATATAATTCTCCCTTCTCGATCCTTCCGAGAACTAATAATAGGCCAACGGTAAAGGTTGGGAGAGATTTTACCGGCCTCTTCCCTGTTCTAATTTTCCACCAGTTCTTCTATGCAAACTATCAGATACGTGCTTCCCCTAAAATAGTGATCTTCTTGTTGCAATATCACATGTTAGAATTCCACTCACACCTTTCGACATATTTCTAGCATGGGAATGTTAAACAATCTTGGCGTCTATTCTCCTTCCATCCCAAGTGACCTCCGTATGCCTACGAGACACAACAAGATCCAATTCTTGGAGCAAGGTAGAATGATTGAACATTAACATACAGAAATATTTTGCTACTGTTTTTATCAAAGAAACTTTTTCGAGAATATTGAGAAAATTGAAAAAGCTTGGAAAGGATAGAGAAGTTTCTGAGAAAGAACGAAAAGGGGTCAAAGAAGAAGAAAGAGGTCACAACCCCCCACCCCCACAAAAAAGCAGAGGGAGAAGAACCGTAATTTGGAAGTCAATAATAAATTGACGAGGGAGCCAATGAGAAGTCAATCTTCTCAACCCATCAGCAATGCTGAGGGCATAGAATGGAGCCTGAGCAACGACGAAAGAATGCAGCTGGAGCTTCAGGAGCTTTAGGAGAGATTTCAGGAGATGAAAATGAAAGATAACATAGAGACCGGTGAGGCTTCAGCCGAATAAAGAAAAAAGGACATCTTGATAATTACCATATTAGAGGTTGGTGGCTCTAATGGAATGGTTATATTGTGTCTTTGAGTTTTAAGGGGTCTCTGATTAGCTGGATCTTAATATCAGTGCAACGCGGTGAAGGTATATAAAAGATACAAACCCAAAAATGACCCCCTTAAACATGATTAATAATTATATTAACTATAACTATAAAATTAAATCAAACGCGCAAATGATTTAAAATATCACTTGGAGGGCTGATACCGTAGAGGCGCCGTGCTAATAGCCCGATGTCTTAATTGTGCCAGCACAGAAGAATCAGTATCCCTGATGGGTTATAAATGTATTGAGTACTTAGATTCAGGCCAATTACATTAATAACATACTGTACAGGTACTACTTGGAGGGGCAGCTCACTCCAACCTGTTATGCAACTAAACGCAGCTGAACCCCTGACAGCTTCAAATCCCTTCAGCTATTCCTATTGGTCAAGTTCCAATTAATTATCTACCTAACGTTTAGGTGTTCAATTGCAGCGGCTTCTCCAAACTCTATCTTATCACTTACACGGCAGCTTTACGTACCTCGTCCCAAAAAAGTCCAGACCTACAAAAAAGCCACTTTGCATTTACACCAAAACTTAAACTCCGTTCCAATGACTTCGAAATCAGGTTCTTGACTTGATTCGCGATATATGGTCCTGTAGACTTATCAGCTCCAAGCTCTGCCGCATGCCAGAGCTTGCGACAGAGCTATTTCGTCTCTTACCCCTCTAGCTCCATATACTATTTACGACTCTCAAGGCATCATGATACCACGACTTTTTCAGTTGCCATGTGGCCTTGCCGCCACTCTTTTGGCAACTCTTTGCTTGAACTCGGGTCATGTTCTAGCTGGGCCCTCCGTTAATGTTGCTATGAAAGCTGCATTCCCAGCTCCTCCCTATCTCGTCGAGCTCTTGTAGGTTGCATTCGTGGTATAGTCCAATTAGAATATGTAAATGCTAAATGTAATCTAGAGAGACTGCTGCCGGAGAGAACGCCACATCTTACTTCCCACTCCTCGACCGAATCGCCGATGGCACCTTTGCGAATTCGAAGACAGACAAGGAACTATACGAGAAGTTCCTCCAAATTTTAAAACAAGATGGCCACATGGGAAGTTCGGAGGCATTGTCCACTTTCAAGCTTGCCCTTTCTATGAGGTCAGCAGCTCCGAGGATAGAGGCTCATTATCAATACTACGATACAGCCGTAGCACCCTCCCTAGGAAAAGCCAGGACCGACTGCGCTGAGTGGGTGCTCATGAGCGGAAAGCAGTACTGCTCAGCTTCGCTTGCGCATGCCGACGGCCACATCTCAGGGGACTCGTATGTACCATACCTTAATGATATTTATTATTCGATCGTATCTTACATGAATATAGGCAAATACGGTTGCTCCCATTCGATCGCGCTTTAGGGGCAGGTTCAGAAGTGATACTATACGCGGATATCACCAAACCTGAATTTGGGCCCTTCCATAAATCCCTATCCGAGATGGCCCGAAAAGGGGAGGTTTCGTACCGGCTAAGATATCGCGTTGACCAAACCGAGGAACGAGAACCGCTGCCGGTCAGCGGGTACGGTGTGGAGCTTCAGCTAAAGCGAACAGACTATATTGTCATTGACGATCGCGAAGCCGAATCTGAGACGAGCTCGGCCGCTAAGTCTACGCCTACTGAAGTCGTGCTCGACGGAGAAGAGGAGGTAACAGACCTAAAGCCGCTGTCAAGTTCCGAATTGGCATCATTAGGTCTCAAAGCCGGTTCTTTTATCATGCAAAGCGATGACCCTTTCCAAACGTTGATCAAGTTGACTCAAGACTTCCCGAAGTTCTCTACGTCTGTCGCCGCACATAATGCTTCAGATGCTTTCGTTAAGGAGCACCGTCAGAATCGAGCCCTGAGCGTACCTGCTGGGATGAATGTCCTCTGGATGAACGGCGTCCAGCTGATCGAACGGCAAATCGATCCGTTCACCCTCGTAAACAGCATTAGACGGGAAAGAAAACTTATCGATGGTGTGACAAGTTTGGGATTAAGCGGAAAAGAAGCCGTGTACCTACTTGGCCATCGCGAAGTAACATCGGCCAAGTCGTCCGACGAGCCTCGTAGATTTGACTGGCGGGACGAAATTGAAGAAGGCAGCGTCATTATCTGGCTGAACAACATCGAAAAGGACAAGCGATACGCCGAGTATCCCAAGAGTCTTATGGCAGTAAGTACTAATAAATTAAGAGGTACTTCACCCTACAACTAGCTGACTATTTCTAGCTTATGCAAAGGACTTACCCTGGGCAGATTCCTCCGATCCGTAAGGATATATTCAATCTCGTTGTTCCGGTTGACTTGACCAAGCCAGAAGATCTGTCCTTAGTTGTTGAGCAACTCCAGGCTTTCATAAAAAGGCTACTCCCCGTCCGCTTCGGACTAGTACCGTTGACACCAACGAAGACAGCCGAGGAGCGAGCGAAGGTAGCCTATCATCTGTTAGAGAATTACGGGCTATCCAGCCTCATATCTTATCTGGGGGCTTGCAATACGGGGGATGGCTCTGAACAGGCACACTTTGATAAGGCAATTAAAAATCGCACCCCGAAGGACGAAGCCGCACCCCCTTCGTTCAAGGATATCCTCGAATCAGAAGACCACACCAAACAAATCAAGCTTGTGAATCATTGGGTAGAGCGACTCAACGCCAATACCGAAGTGCCTCCGCTGTTTCTCAATGGTCTTGCCATACCGCGGGAAGACAATTGGCTTCAAGTCATGAGCATGAGAATGGGTACCGACCTACAACTAGTTCAACAGGGAATCTTCACAGGCACGATCGACGATGAGACATGGATCCCGCAGCTCTTCCTAGAGGGCGCAGCAACTCGACGTAACCTCTATATTTATCCCGACGGCGAGAATACTCTCATCGTGTTAGATATAAATAAGCTCTATTCCGAACACAACGATCTGTTCGAACAGGTTCCAGTTATCGAAGCAAGTGAGGACACAAGCAAGGAGACCTGGGCTACTCTGACAGTTGTTGCCGATCTGAGCTCGCAGCAAGGTCTCCGTCTTCTCTTATCTGCCTTATCATTCCGGCGTAACAACCCCGGAGTGCGTCTTGATATTGTCAATAATGCTCAGAAATTGAGCAGCGCGCACGAAATCAACGCGCTGCTTAAGAAGGACACTGCCAAACTCTTGGAAGTTGAAAATTTGGAGACGCTAGAAGTCCTCTTATCAAGCCCAGCTGACGGGCAGGATGACGGATATAACGCAGCGTTATCACGTTTCCTAACAGCCGCAGCCGTTGCCCCAGGTGCTCAGTTTCTCATCCTCAACGGTCGTGTGATCGGCCCATTTGTTGACAACTCGGGATTTACGGAAAATGACTTCGAGCTACTACTTGAATTCGAGCAGGAAACAAGAATACTCCCGGTGTATAAGGCAGCTGACGCGCTAGGCTTGGCGGACAAGATCACCCATCCTCTAACTGCCGCGAAGCTTACGTCGGTAACCGCTCTATCCACTATATCTGACCTGCCCGAGGGGATTTTCGAATCCGCCCCGACCCTAAGAACGGCTCTATTCGACGCATGGAATTCCACCCACACGATGATCGACGTTGGTGATGCATCCACGGCTAATATCCACTTTGTTGCCGTGATCAACCCTGCCAGCGAGATAGGACAGAAGTGGGCTCCTATACTCAAGGTTCTATCCCAGCTAGACGGTGTTTACATGCGCATCTTCTTGAACCCAAAAGAGAAAATCGAAGAGCTTCCAGTCAAGAGATTCTACCGATACGTCTTAGACTCGGCACCATCTTTCGACGAGGATGGAAAGGTCAGCGCTCTCGGCGCTACATTCAAGGGACTTCCTTCAGAAGCTCTTCTCAACCTTGGCATGGATGTGCCACCTGCTTGGCTAGTAGCAGCGAAGGTTTCAATTCATGATTTGGATAACGTGAAGTTGAGCTCCATCAAAACTGACGTAGAAGCCACCTATGAACTCGAGCATATCCTTATCGAAGGTCACTCACGAGAAGTGTCGGGCGGTCCACCCCGTGGTGTCCAGCTATTACTCGGCACAGAGCTTGATCCCCATTTCGACGACACAATCATCATGGCCAACATTGGCTACTTCCAGTTCAAAGCCAACCCTGGGTATTACAATATACACCTCAAGGAAGGAAGAAGTTCAGAAATCTTTGACATTATCAGCGTGGGCGCAAAAGGATATAACCCTGTCCCCGGTGACGAAGGTACCGAAGTTGCTCTCATGGACTTCCAGGGTACGACTCTATACCCGCGGCTGGAAAGGAAGCCTGGTATGGAGCTAGAAGACGTCCTCGAAGAAAGCAGTTCGGAGGGCGGCGACGATCTCCTCTCTCGCGGTCTCAAGTTTGCCGAAGGAATCCTCGGGACAAAGCCCAAGCCCAAGTCGGTCTCAAACGAAGAACACGCCGAGATCAATATCTTCTCCGTGGCGAGCGGTCATCTATACGAGCGCATGCTCAACATCATGATGGTTTCCGTCATGAAGAACACAAACCACACGGTCAAGTTCTGGTTTATCGAGCAGTTCCTGTCTCCGTCCTTCAAAGAATTCATACCCCACTTAGCTAAGGAGTACGGCTTTAAGTACGAGATGGTTACGTACAAGTGGCCGCACTGGCTCCGCCAGCAGAAAGAGAAGCAGCGCGAAATCTGGGGCTACAAGATCCTATTCCTAGACGTCCTCTTCCCCCTGTCCCTCGACAAGGTGATATTCGTCGACGCAGATCAGATCGTCAGGACAGACATGATAGACCTTGTCAATCTTGACCTGCAGGGCGCGCCCTACGGTTTTACGCCAATGTGTGATTCTCGGACTGAGATGGAGGGCTTCCGCTTCTGGAAGCAAGGCTACTGGAAGAATTACCTCCGCGGGAACCCCTATCACATCTCAGCCCTCTACGTGGTCGACCTTCGCCGCTTTAGGCAGCTAGCCGCGGGCGATAGGCTCAGGCAGCATTACCATCAGCTATCGGCCGATCCGGGCTCCCTCTCTAACCTCGATCAGGACCTGCCAAACCACATGCAGTTTGTAATTCCGATCCACAGCCTACCGCAAGAGTGGTTGTGGTGCGAGACGTGGTGTAGCGACGAGAGCCAGAAAGAAGCGCGAACCATCGACCTATGTAACAATCCGCAGACCAAAGAGCCGAAACTCGACCGAGCTAGGAGGCAAGTTCCGGAATGGACCGTGTACGATGACGAGATCGCCGCCGTAGATCGACGGAGGAGAGGATCAGTCACAGATGGCGACACCCAGAAGGTGCTTACTATTGGTAGTGAGGAAAAGAACACCAAGAGCCGGACGCTCGAGGAGAAGCCTGATGTAAAGACGAGGACGAAGGATGAATTATAAATTTTTATATATTTGCGCACCTATAGATCACCTATAGTTAGATATTTAGACGTAATTGAGTCTTTTGACAAACCCCCTGGGGTCTGATTAACCATCGCACATTTATAAATCAGATTAAACTATAAATCCTCCTTTCTAATACCTACCATCATGTTCTCTTAACATGAGGCAGAGGCGAATCCCCTCAGCTTATATATCCCCTAGGCTGCTCATACCCGAAGATGACCATTTTGAAGATGACTGGTCATATTTTCAACTGATTATGTTTGATAGGTACTGTCAGCAGATTCATTTTACTTCGTACTTTACCAAAATAGCATCACGTATACGCAACGGCTTCTTTGTGGCCAATCTAGTTTGGCCGCACCAACGTCGAAATAAATAAAAACTCCACTGAGCAATAGTGGATTCGATTCAACTACCACCAAGTTTTACCACTAAATACCTCTTAACCTGGACTAAATACTTAACCTACTACCCCGGCCCCTTTCGCATCCCCATTATCCTATAAAAAAAAACATGCACCATTTGCATACCGTCCACTAACTACTGTCTATCCACTCGCCCCCATATCCATATCCATATCCATATCCATATCCATATCCATATCCATATCCGTATATCCATTCCCCAGCACATGTAATGTACCTTACGCACCAGGTTTAAGACATGCCAGCTTTTCTCACTTACCTCTGCAGCACAGCATTTGTCCATCGTGTCGCGCATCGCCGTTAGGTACCTAATCATTAATACCTAGTCATTAGTACCTTACATACCTGGTGTATATACCTGCCAACCTGGTGTGTATAAAATTAAGGCTCAGGTACCTTTTGCCGTTCTTCTTCACCTTTACGTTCGGTACCTAACCTACCACATATCTAAGAATGGAGCTCGGGTGCTCGGTGATCTCGCCGCTGGCCCCGCATAAGCACACCCACACCGTGATATTCTTGCACGGCCGCGGCGACACCTCGCGGAATATGGCCGATGCCCTGCTGTCGCGGTGGACGAGGGATTCGCGCGGCCGCTCGCTGGTAGATGAATTTCCGTCGGTGCGCTGGGTCTTTCCGGTACGTCTACTGTATTCGTTGTTTGATCGCTCGGCCGTTTAAATGACGTATATCCCGAGAATCTTTCCGGTTTGTCTCAGGGGTCAACCCACTCCCGCTCCCGCTCCCGCTTCGACTAAATGCTTAGGTTAATGAAGTCACCGTCGCTTTCTAATTATATACACGCCACCCCCTTTCCCCTTTCACACTTATTAAAACCCCCCCTCCCCCTTCCATGCATCTATCATCTCCCTACTAACACCCCCTAGGAAGCCGAACCCCGTCTCGCCGAAAACCTCGGCGAGGTCTGTCCGCAGTGGTTCGACGTGTCCAACATGCTGGACCTAACCGATGCCGAAGAGATGCAAGTCTTCGGCTTGCGCGGCAGCGTCGCCAGCATCCGGCGGATCGTGCGGCGCGAGGCCCGCACCGTCGGTGGCATGGACCACGTCGTGCTAGCCGGCGTCAGCCAAGGCGGCGCCACGGTGTTCCACACTTTACTGCACCTCGACGACGGCGGCGGCGCCGAGACTGCCGAGGGTGAGCTTATGGCGTTGCAGGAAAAGGGAGAGGAAGAGGTGCCAAAATCGGAGTCCCGGCTCTGCGGCATCATGGGGTTTTCGTGCTGGCTGCCGTTTCCGGGCGGGTCGCTGGAGGAAACCCGCGAGGTACTAGGGATGGAAGACGGGTGGCCGAAAACGGATACCGTGGTGCGGAATACGCCTGCGTTCCTGGGCCACTGCGCCGACGACTCGCTTGTCTTTGTCGAGTACGGGCGGCAGTTGAGGACTGGGCTTAAGAGTTTCGGTATGAATGTCGAGTGGCATGAGTATGAGGACGGGGGGCACTGGATCAATGCCCCGAAGGGTGTGGATGATGCGGTGGAGTTCCTTAAGGCGCAAGGGATACCGCTGGCGGAGTTGGCAGAGGAGGAATAGACCCGTCTACGTACGGAAGAGTATAAGTTGAGCTTCGATGTCATGACAGTTGGCTTAAAGGTCGTTGCTCTTGCTCTGGGGGGTATGAGATAGAATGTCAAATAGAACTACCGTGTAATCATAATGTTTTGCTGGATATTACCTATGACTGACGTGTCATGTTATTGCGTTATACTGCGTTACAGCCTTGTTTCGCTAACGTTTTTCATTACGCTGCGGATGGCCTTTATACATGCTATGATTTGATAGTTTAGCTAGGTAGGTAACTTGGATACTATGGGGCAAGACATATATGTCTGCATTTGTCCCTATTCATGTTCTGATACTATAGTATTTATATATATGGAACACCAATAGGCTACTTAATTGTATTATGTACAGAACGCTCTACAGATGTTCAACCCAATAGAGATATTATGTATCCTGAAGTAAAGAAGCTAAGTATTCCAAAGACCGAAGAACTGCTATTCGATTTTGAAATATATAGGGGTCTCGGTAGGTGGATGGTAGAAGTTTTAATAGAAAATCTATTGTAACAGCAACCATGAAGCCTTATGAGGAATATAATATAATTCCTCACCAAGTTGGCGAAATGTTGACTTATAAATGCACCGCGTTTTCGGACGATAACATGTACTAAGTACTATGCTGCACTCTGATTGGACCGGATATTCTCCGGCGGATATAAAGCCTTATAAAGTAAAATAACAGTCCAATGATCAGGAGCGGGATTGCATAAAAGTACTTGACTCATGCCTTTTACCTGACTCAACCTTGTGTAACCCACAATGCTCCTTTCACTAATCTTTGGAAACAATATTCTGGAGTTCCCAGATTCAATTTTGTTTTGCCAGTCTATTTTTTGGACCTTTTTTCGCCCTCACGAATGTCCAATTCTACATTTGAATACTTGTCCTATGATTTCTAATTTAAAGTTTATTTTTTGCGCGCTCGTATGCACTATTGATATCTGGAGTTGGTTGATTTTACTTTTTCGCTTTCCTTTCGACGAACCAATCGTACTGCTTGCTACTTATTGGGTCTCTTGCAAATAATGCCTGGTTATTTTTAATTGTCATAATTGTCGAGATAAAAATAAATATTTATATACTACATAGGCACTTGTAGCTAAAATAAAGAACGTACCTAGGTAATGTTGCATGCCACAATAGCATCAATTGACCCCGAGAACCGAAAATAGCCCGACGCGTACGGAATACATGGAAGTCGTGCTTTGTAGAACAAGGTGGGGTAGCTGTTGTGCCCCTCTATATGACGTCCGTTCTGGTGTGGTTGAACTCTCGGCCTGTAAGCTTGTCTGCAATTTATCAGATCCGACGAGGCCGTATATCTGGAACATCGAACCTAGCGAGCCATCAAGGTCCACGTCTCCATACATATTCATCTCCATACATATTCATCTACTAAGTCTAAGTCGCCTGTCAGTTAACATGGCCGCCTGCATCTTCTGTAAGATCATCAAGGGTAGGTATTCAAAATTTCATCTGTGGTGTTGAGATGTCTTGAATTCATATATCACCAACATCTTCTCCCTCATATTTTCAAATTTTTATGCAATGATGTAAATTATTAACAACCAATTACAGGAGAAATCCCCTCCTTCAAGCTCTTCGAGAGCGACAAGACCTTTGCCTTCCTCGACATCAACCCTCTAAGCAAGGGCCACGCCGTAAGAGACCACCCCTCGTCTCATATATTCTAGAATCACCCAGTGAGTATAAAGAAGAGATATATATAAGACTAACAACACCCAGCTCGTCATCCCCAAGTTCCACGGCGCCAAGCTGGCCGACATCCCCGACGACCAGCTGAGCGAGATCCTGCCCGTGGTCAAGAAGCTTGTCGCGGCAACCGGCGCCACCGACTACAACATCCTGCAGAACAACGGCCGCATCGCCCACCAGGTTGTTGACCATGTGAGTTTTCTAACCCCTGACCTAAAGTTTTGCCTAGTCTTCTTGCCCTTCTCAGGAAGAAAGGGGTGGATGAATACAGTTTGATGAGACAAGCGCGAGAGGAAACTTGTAGCAGCGAACTAATCGTGAACTTCCTCGTTCTAGGTCCACTTTCACATGGTAAGAAATGCCCATGAGCAATCTATCTCAACACTCTACTAACACATCCCTTAGATCCCCAAGCCGAACCAAGAGCAAGGACTCGGAGTGGGTTGGCCCCAGCAGACCACAGACATGGACGCGCTAAAGGCGCTCTACGAGGATATCAAAGCAAAGATGTGAATGTATTCTCCAAGAAGCTTTCTCTGAAGTTAGGTAGCTACCTAATATATGTTGATGTATGGCAAAACGACTACTCGTCTAGTTGATAGTCCTTCAGCTCAAAGAATTCACAAAAAAGAAGAAATTACACATCCTCGCCATTGCTTTCGGTAATATTGATGCCTACCTAGTCTATGCTAATTACCCGCCTCCGTGCCCTTGTTGTTGATATACTCCATTCCTCTACGTGTACATTAGGTTTAATCGACATCATCAGCTGATGTTTCTCCCGCCGCCAACGCGGCCGTCGTCCCATTCGTGGTTTTCGAAGGGTAATAGTCAAGGCTTCCGTCGGGCTTGATAACACCTATCCTGTCGAAGTAAGACCTTGACCTAATGTAGGGATCTATATGCCAGTATTGCTCCCTTAGGTTCTTAGCAATTATGTTCCGCTCTGAATAGATGGCCGCCCTCTTCGTAGCATCTGTTTCATTAATCCATTCGATCGTCTTGCTTTCGTAGTCTTCGTAGAGAGCCTCCCGCTCCCGCTGAAGCTTTTCTTTTGTCTCTAGATCCTTCATCTTAGCATTTTCACCGGGCACTGGCTCTACGTATTTGTAGGTATAGCCTGATGTGCCTTCTAGTTCGTCGGGCAGTGTCTCCTTAGCAACGAACTCCTCTAAATCCTTGACGGTATTTGTGAAATGGACCTTGCCTGCAACTACAGGATCGAGCCACCCCCGAAGAATCTTCCAGATACCTATATATTGAGTTAGGGTATACATGCATAAGTATAACGTGGGAGTTAGCAAACCTTGAAAGACCCACGGGGCCTTATGGACGAGAACAACACCAAGGCTCTCGGGGTAATTAGCTTCAAAGCATTTTATCATAAACTTCACCGGAGTGTAATCCTGGTAGGCGTTAGCTTGCCTCATCTCAAATTGTAGTATTTCCCTTCAACTTACCATGTTAGCTAAGGAAAAGCCAGTCAAGTCGAAAACGATACACTAATAATGTTAGTTCTTGGGATATTCGGGATGGCTGGAATATGATACTAACAGCAGTATCAATAGGAGCGCGAAGCATAAACCGTGTCGTCTCGATCAAATAAACAGTAAAACGTTCCAGGCCTTCCTCAGACTGTTCGCCTGCTTTGTGTAGGCGAGCCCTAACAATGCAAATAGGCCTTCCAATTTTATCAGTACCGTAGCAATAACTCTTTCCCATGCGCAGTTGAGCCAGAAAGTCTTGTGCTACTTTTTTTGTCTTTTCATCGCCGGTTTTCTCGTTGATGGAAGCAAGTTCTTCGCCGTTGGCCATAACTTCGTCGTCAACATGGGCCTCCGAACACCTCCAGTTCATCGTCGACATCAGCATGACAAGGGCCCTTTGGAGGTCCCATTTCCTAGCCCTTAGGAACCGTAGTAAAAGAGCATCGGGATGGTCGTGCTTGACCATAGACCAGATCGTGGCTCTTATCTGCTCTGGGGTGTGCGTGGCTAAGGTATCGAGGTATGTCTTGTTCTCACCCCATTTATCTTCTGGGTCGTTTTCCTTGATGCCGTCCATGGCGGGGACCTTGGTAGGCGCTGCGCCATCCTTGCTCTTGTCCTTCTTTCTCTTAAAAATAGACATCCGACTCTTCTTAGTCTTTTCGGATCCCGCGGTGCCCGTCTTCCCCTGACTTTCTGAGGCGTTGTCTACCTCGCCGGAGGCCTCCTCGCCTAGAACGCCGCATACGTGCAAGAACATCTCCCAGAACTTGCGCAGCTTCTCTTCTTCTTCGGGGGTTAAGTTCCCCGGCCTACCCGGAAGAGGTTCCATGTCTTCTACGGGTTTGCTGGAATAGTCTCCAGCAATAGCTTCAGATGTTGGTGGTACTCTTGGACGAGAAGGTACTATACTGTAGAGCACAAAGGTGCTAAATGTGAGCAAGGGTAAAAAGTATAGCGCAGGTGAGATTTGGCTCTTTAAGCACCGTTCGCGTTTCTGCTCTTGTCTTGAAAATGCTCGTCTTTTTGGATGAGTTTTTACTCGATATGAGAGTGATCGATATGAGAGTGAGGATAAATGAAAATGGCGATTATAAGTATAGCTCTTAGGATGTAGTAATAACGATCCGCGGGGCTGTGCAAAGTTTGATGACGGACGAGTCAGAAGGAGGGCGGGGCTAGACAATGCGCATGAGACTTTTGTTGAAGGTCGAAGTAGAAGAGACTGTTGCAGATTGAAGGTTTGGTGAGTTAAGAGACTACTGGCAATAAAGTTGAGTCTTGGAACTGTGGAGAAGAGAAATGGTTGCGGTACAACAGGCGCTGGTGTCTTCTTCATAAGGTCCAAGATAGCCCCAAGTAGAAGAAGGTTGTCGCACAGATGTCAAATGTCCGACGGAGCCGAACTAATCCGTATCCTTTTTCAAATTGAGGCTGGGCTGGCTGTCTTATTTTCTGGGGGCGGGATCAATCCCTTTGCTCAACCTGACGTATAACAACCAAGCTCGAGCAACTGTACGAGACCGGTCTATCCACCGTCCCTGTTAAATGTTGGGTTGTATCGAATGCAGAATGCGTGTGTCAATGTTAAATAATTGATTTATGATAGTTGTTTTGTATATGTCTCAGCTCTCAGACTCTGGGCGCATTCAACCTTAAAGCTCAGATGATACGCAGCGAATAACGATATCCAGAATTGGAAGAGGCAATCATTAAAGACGGGTAGTTAGAAAAAAAAGCAGGCATTTACATAGCGTAGAAGATGTATGTAGGTATGTACATATGTAAGCTAGAGGGAACTAAGTATAGGTAATTACACATTACACCTAGGTTAGCGGACTAATTTCTAATAAGAGTCCGGATTTATACTACCTATTATGCGATTCTTTTTTTCTTTTTCTTTTTTTGAGATGAGCTGCTGCTACTAGCCGCTGCGCATCAGCTCTTCCGTCCCTTCCTTTCTCGATATTAGGTACAGTTTACGTCATGTTGGGGTTCAGGTACCACTTTATCCTAAGGGGCAGCATCTAAATAGAAGTTTAGCACGTGTCCAATACCTTGAACCTTAGGCGTTGACCCCACCATATCTTGAGCACCCTAGCAGCCTTAATTCGCTATTGCCAAGCATTGAATTCTATCGAAGGGGGCAGTTACCTTTTTCTAAGTAACGATTCAAATACCCACAGTATAAACACGTTCAATCAAATAAGTACCTTAGGTACCTAACCTACCAATTACTATTCTAATTCATCATAGTCATCGTATTTTCAGCCAACTCAAACACCATGTCGGCAAACGAAGGCCACGATAGCGTGCGACGACCGCGCTCCACGTCGCGCTCGCGTCCGACAACTCCTCTCCGCCCCTCCTCCCGTTCCTCGTTCCGCGAGTCCGCTCAGCGCAGCGTCCAAGGCGGCGAACCCTTCCCGCTGAACGCCTTCGAACCCGCATTCGCCGAGTTCTCTGATGCTATGGCCGACCTAGAGGCGAACATGATGCACTTCCAGCTGATGCACGAAAGCCTCTCACGATTCAGCGAGAGCTTCGCGAGCTTCATGTACGGACTGAACATGAATGCTTTCTGCGTCGACTTTGCCGAGGTAATAGGCCATTCTACGTCTACGGAATTTAATAGCTGCTGATAAGTTGCGGAATTACAGGGACCGATCCCCGAGTCATTCCGCAGAGCGAGGGTTAGAGAGGAGCAATCACCGGCACCAGTCCGATCTCGAAGCACAGAGCGTGGAGGCGAATTCGATGGGGAGACGACATTCATGTATGAGTATTTGATATGATGCGCTAGGCTAATGCTGATTATCTCTAGGACTACGGACACCTCCTTCGTAGAGAACCCACCGACAGTCTCCAAGCCGACTCCTAAGAAGTTTGCGACGTCGGATGCTCGTCAGTCTCGTGTCCCCCCTCCCTCGAGAGGCGGCACCCAGTCTAGAGGTAGAGGCGGAACGGGACGAGGTCGAACAAGTGGTCTCGTTAGACCGAGAGCTCGTGGCTTGAAATGAGCGAAGTCGATAACTTATCAGACTCTCGAAATATCACAGCCTCGAAATCCGATATTAGCCCTGATTTGGCCAGAAAATGCCTTGGACAATATTGCAACGCATGGGCGCATTATATAAGACGCCCAACCTGTGCTCTATTAATGACACTCGCGCGTATATCGAAACGCCATAGATGCCTGTTTTGAGAAGTTTGCGCGGTGGGATCAAGTCGTTCATGTCGACATGGTAATCTCGTTATCGGTAACGCTCTCGGTTCGGTGGGGGCTTTGGTTGTCGGTTCTGAGACCAATAGCAGCCTCGGCCTCCTTCTGAGTATATGGCTCCTCGCGAAGCTGCTTGACTCTATTATCCAGTGTTAGTTTAGATAACTAGGTACCTAATATGATATGCTACTATCAAGTAAAACGTACCTTCTCTTGTGAGGCTTTCCTTTTCTGTGTACAACAAGGTTATCCTCAGTATCGTACCACTTTGCGCACTCGGTGCAGTACCATTTTCCTAGGGCAGGTAGGTCTTCTGGCGCCTTTAAGTTCTTGAATTGGGCAAGATGCTTTGGCGAGAGGAGGTCGGCTTTGATCTGATCTAGGTCCCTCGTCTTGCGACGGGTCTTGGACAGCGTACGCTTGTTTGTGACACCCATGATAGGCGGCAATTCTTTCAATGGCAAATTCGTCAAGGACTGTTACGTCTTGAAGAATCTAGCAGCCGTGGTAGTAGTAGGTACCTAAATTAATCTCACATGTATTAGGTAAGTTGAATTGAAGATTTCCTAGGCGTAGAAATTTTGGTGGGGTGAATATTTTTAGTCTAGTTCAGGAAGTGGCAACAAGTGATCCGGGCGCAAACCCGTAATTGCAGTTACATATGTACATAGGTATGTATGGTTTAACGTTCCGAGCCTCCGAATTTGATTCGGCTCCATCCGTTTTTCAGAGCCGGGCGAGCGGCATTACAGCGGCAGGTTATTAGTCAGGTCCATGCCGCAGCCACACAAAGTTCCTACCTATCAAAAAACATGGGAAAATATTTAAACGAATTCAACCTTGGAGTACATAGCACGGTTGCATGGTATTATACACAAATTTCGGCGTAGCGACAAAGATATGTGGCATTAGCAATACCTTTATGCCGATGCGCCAGGGCAACAGCTCGGTGCCAAATATTCACCGAGGCAAAGTTGCCGTGGGGGTATGTCCCTTGTCCACTGATCCTAGTGGTATCGCCGATTGGCCAATTCGGTCCCACCTGTTTGGTCTCCAGACTGAGCAAAATTTGTCTCGGCCTGTCGATTTTGGCCTGCAGACCTGTAAATGTGGACCTGCGTGCATTCTTGAAGCGATTCAGGGCTTTTACACTACGGCGTTACTTGGGCTACGACGAAGAGGTACCTGCGGTTATTTCCAAGGTACTTGTGCCCAGGAACGAGGTACATGTCTTTGATTCCTTCAGAATTAATCTAGCTTTCTTAAATAGTCCAAAACTGCATTCTGCTAGGATACAGAAATAATTGTGTTTACAGCAATTTTGAATCTCAGTCCTAGCCTTAGAGTTTTAAGATGCTGCTGCAAGGCTACCGTTGACTTGGTATGTAGCTGTGCAACTGAGGGGGCTGATTCGCAGGCGTTTACATACCACCCAACTACCCCCAGGTCTTAAAGGCAAGGATTAAGTAGAAACTAGGTCATAGATCGACCAGCTTCCAATGAGGGTTAAGCTACAGGAAAACAAGAAAGTCGCACAGATTTACATGTGCCTATCAATTTGACAAATTACTTGGATAGATTATATGCACTACCAATAATTGTGCTATTCGTAGGGACGACGTCAAATTGAGTTTTCAAGTTTAAAGTCTGACCAATCCCATTGATCTGATTGCACGATGGTTTCATGGGGTTTTAAGTATTTGGGTACATATTATGGCTGTTGTACACCTGGGCATACACCACGCAAAGGAATTCGAGCTTGTGAACCTGAGGGATTCTAGGAATTGAACTAACAACATTGAAACTTGCAGCTAACCCAACTCATATCCAAGTCCGGCAACATCTTACATAGATACCTATACATACATGTCTCTCTTAGGCCGTTATACATGAAGAGTCTCCATCCAACCGCTTTCATCTATCTGCATTCCGCGCGTTCTGTTAAAATTTCCGCTTTGTATAATACATGTACTTAATGGATCTAGGTACCCTAGCGTTAGGTAGTTTTTTCCATCATCCTGTTGCCAAGAAATGGAATGCCCCTCGTTTCCAAAAGCCACTTAGATTAGGATAGATAAGTTTGCTTCTTGGAACTTTTGTAACAATGACGACCGTCTTATATAATAAATATACATAGTAAGTTAGAGATGACCGCATATGTAGGAGATGAGGAACCTAAGCTAGGTAGCTTCATGATATCTCTTTGTAATCAATGCATGTTCAAGCATGCATACATACATACATACATACATACATACATACATACATGTATGTATAATGTAGGCCATGCTTCCATCGTTATCGCATGTGGTGGCTGATTCTCCAAGAAGCAAGGTGAGGTCACAGTTTTTGACCTGAAAGTAATCGGATTTGCTGTGATTCGTCCATTCAGCCGGGTGACACCATCAATAGTGGAGGTACCTCTTCGTCTTAGCCGAAGTACCCCGATACATCTAAATCCCTAGCACGCCTAGCCGTTAGTGACCAGTAGGCTTTCGCAGCTCCCCTTTACCGCAGTACCGTAGCACCGGGCGGCCAAAGGTAACATCTTTAATCGCAAACCACAAAAACTCTCCACCTTTTCCTCTTCTTTTCCATCACAATCTTTTTTTTCCTTTCCTCCTAAAGAACCAATTCCTCCTTCTTCCTCCAGGTTCAAGAGGCATATTGTCTCCCTGCTGATAATTTTCCCATCCTCCAATCTTCGTAGGAGTTGAATTTGGTCTGATCGTGTCTTACATCTGAACCCCTCATAGCTACCCTCAGGACCGCGGTTGTCAACATGTTGGCCACTCGACAGGTCCTGGGCAACGTTGCCCGATCGCGGGTCATGTCCAACATGAACCTGCGTAGGTGCATGGCCTCCGTGGCCGATTCGGCCTTGGACAAGAAGGTAAGCCGGCATCGATCGCAAAGCTCTAAAGCTTGCTAGAGGGGTGATCACGGAGGCTAATATTTCCCTCAAACCATAGGTCAAGCAAAACAACTGGGAAGAAGGCAACTTTATCAACTATAAGAAGATGTCTGAGAACTTGGCGATTGTTCGTAGTCGTCTAAATCGCCCCCTAGCATACGCCGAGAAGATCTTATACTCCCATCTTGACGACCCTCACGGACAAGAAATCGAGCGGGGTGTCTCTTATCTGAAGTTGCGACCCGATCGAGTCGCATGTCAGGATGCTACTGCTCAGATGGCCATCCTCCAGTTCATGTCTGCCGGCATGCCTTCTGTAGCGAACCCTACAACTGTACACTGTGATCACCTGATCGAGGCCCAGATCGGCGGAGAGAAAGATCTTGAACGAGCTATCAGCATCAACAAGGAAGTATATGACTTCCTAGCCTCAGCATGTGCCAAGTACAACATTGGATTCTGGAGACCCGGCTCCGGTATCATCCACCAAATCATCCTCGAAAATTATGCCTTCCCTGGCGGTCTATTGATCGGTACTGACTCTCACACACCTAATGCTGGTGGTCTAGGTATGGCTGCCATTGGTGTTGGTGGTGCTGATGCTGTCGATGTCATGGCAAACCTGCCTTGGGAACTGAAGGCGCCGAAGGTCATTGGAGTGCGGCTGACTGGGGCCCTGTCCGGCTGGACAGCACCCAAAGGTAAGTCCTCAGTAAGCCCAACGAATAAGCCTCCTGCTAATAGTGATTCCCAGATATCATCCTAAAGGTCGCCGGCATACTTAGTGTTAAAGGTGGCACAGGCGCAATTATTGAATATCACGGCCCTGGTCTTGACAGTGTATCATGCACTGGCCTGGCGACAATTGCTAATATGGGGTAATGGATTTCTGTTCTTCTTTTATTTTATCAAATTTTTTCTATTTTCCCCCTATTTCCCCCCTTTGTTTAGGGTGCTTTCAGGCTTTTTTTTAGAATTTTCTTTTAATGTTATTGGGGTGTTTTTTTTTCATTCCTTAAGAAGGATACTCTGGTTAAGCAGATGCTAACATCTACAAAAGGGCTGAAATAGGTGCCACCACCTCCGTATTCCCTTTCAACGACCGCATGTATGACTACCTAAAGGCTACTAAGCGTACTGAAATCGGTGACTTTGCCCGATCTTACGCCAAGGAACTACGTGAGGACGAGGGTGTCGAGTATGACCAGCTTATCGAGATTAACCTTTCCGAGCTCGAGCCGCACATCAACGGTCCCTTTACCCCAGATCTAGCGACCCCTATCTCCAAGTTCTCCGAGGCTGTCAAGGCCAATAATTGGCCCGAGGAGCTTAAGGTTGGTCTGATCGGATCTTGCACAAACTCCTCATACGAAGACATGTCTAGGGGTGCTTCCATCGCTCGGGATGCTCTTGACCATGGTTTAAAGGCTAAGTCTGCTTTCGTTGTTACTCCTGGTTCCGAACAGATCCGAGCTACTATTGCCCGTGATGGCCAACTTCAGACTTTCGAGGAATTTGGCGGTATAGTGTTGGCTAACGCCTGTGGCCCCTGCATTGGTCAATGGGATCGACGGGATGTCAAGAAGGGCGAGGCCAATTCGATCTTGTCCTCCTACAACCGTAACTTCACCGGCCGAAACGACGGCAACCCTGCAACGCATTCTTTTGTTACTTCCCCTGATCTAGTTGTCGCCATGTCAATTGCTGGCAGCCTACACTTCAATCCCCTGACCGATAAGCTGAAGGATAAGGACGGTAATGAATTCCAGCTTGCTCCTCCCACTGGCGATGGTCTCCCCACGAAGGGTTACGACCCTGGTAACGATACTTACCAGGCTCCTCCTGCTGATCGCACCTCGGTCAGCGTCCAGGTCTCACCATCTTCCGACCGTCTTCAGGTTCTGCAACCATTCCAGCCGTGGGACGGCAAAGATGCTCTAGACATGCCTATTCTTATCAAGGCAAAGGGAAAGACTACTACTGACCACATCTCCATGGCTGGTCCTTGGCTGAAGTACCGTGGACATCTCGACAACATCTCCAACAACATGTTGATTGGCGCCATTAACGAGGCCAACGATGAGGCCAACAAAGTCAAGAACGCCACAACTAATGATTGGGATGCTGTCCCGGCTGTAGCCCGCGACTACAAGGCCAAGGGAATCAAGTGGGTTGTCATTGGTGACTGGAACTATGGCGAGGGAAGTTCCCGAGAGCACGCCGCTCTGGAGCCGCGACATCTTGGTGGACTAGCCATCATTACCCGAAGTTTTGCCCGTATCCACGAGACCAACTTGAAGAAGCAGGGTATGCTTCCTCTCACATTCGCAGATCCTGCCGACTACGACAAGATCAAGCCAGATGATAGGGTAGGTGATTTTTATTCTTTATGAACTCCGTGTCTACTTGTCATTGTTCCATTAATTAATTCTTGCATGTAATCTAGATTGATCTCCTCTGCACGGAGCTAGCTGTCGGCAAACCTATGACGATGCGGGTACATCCTAAGGACGGCAAGCCTTTCGATATAAAACTTCAACACACATTTAATTCTTCTCAGATCGAATGGTTCAAGAATGGAAGCGCATTGAACACGATGGCTAAGAACGCGAAATGAAAGCCCTACGGGATGATGCGGAAAATCAGATCAGTAATATAGGAGAGATTCATGCAGGCGCATTGTGGGGAGGCCTGCTGGAATTACAGCACTCGGGGTGTATAGGAACTTGGGTTGGTTTTACGGATTCATGCTTTATGGGACCATTATATTTCTACCCCGTCATGATGTTTCCCCAGCCGGTTCTAGAATTTTTTTATAGTTTGTACAAAACGAACTCTGACGAAAGAATTTAAGTCGTTACGCTGTTCCAGTTTCCTTCCGTGAAGCTTTCAAGGTGTCTACATGAGTTTCTAGTGTTAATTTCTATGATTTCATGTTTTTGCAATGCCATATATCCTTACATTAGGTACCTAACCTTAGGTAGTTAGGTAGGTATGCTTATCTTATTCTCCCATATTCCGATTCTTATATTCCAGTTATAATTCCGAGACATTTAAATAAGCAAGGTATTAATATTACAAGGTTACGTTTCCTTGTAGAAGGTAGGCTATTGCTTTATATAAAGTATGCTCGGGGGTTACTTCTCTTTCCAAGTCACCCAGGGTGCCTAATCTGATCGTTTTTGTTATAGCATCCTAGAAATTCAATATTGCGCTCTTGTAAACCTCGAACCTGAGTAACCTAGACAATCCTCTGTCGGGTGCTTTACTCTTGTCAGCTATCGGAATATCTAAATTCTTGGTAATTCTCATAATCAAGTTTGCTGGTAGAAATCTCCGACTGAAGGTCGGGCTTCCTGGGAGGCCATCCCCGAATGACTGAGACATACCATAGGTTCGAGTGAATAGGACAGAAAGTGATGCAATAGCAAGCTCGTCCAATTCCAACTCACAGTCCACAGACCAAGCGAGATATTCCGCTGAAAAAAGCATATCACAAGAATTTGAAGTTATAAATGGGATCCCTTTTAGAGAACAAATTGCTTCTGTCAGCTACGAGGCAACCAAGTAAAGGTTCCTTCCTACGGACTAGATCTCTTCGCGGTTACTGTCTTTGGCGGATAGGATCGTTCTTGCAATGGTATATTCGGAGCTCGGTACCGGCTTTACAATGTACTTTTGGTCCGGAGTGGACCTTAGAGAATCTGACAAAGGTACATATTGTCGGGGTTGTATCTATCGGGTATATGCATTTATAAAAGATCCTGATAAGATAGCGCCAAAGATCAATTCCTTCTAGCGTGTCATCTTCCCTACCTATGTAGGTACCTACCTCAAGCAGCCGCGCTATTGCTAAACCCCTGCTAGCAACTGCCTACGGGTGCAGACGGTGCAGACGTAGTTTGCGACTTCCAGCCGCAAAGCACACGACTCAACTTTGTCCTTCTCCAACTTGCCTCCATATTTTTTCTTCAATGGCGATTCGAGTTGGCGTTAAACAACTGCTTTAAGCCTTGCAGGACGGATCCTGTACGCCTCTCGCTATCTTCTCATTTCCCGGGCGCGTTCGGTTTTGCGATAAGCGTGTCGTTTTGCTGAGTACAATCAATCAGCCAGGGTCTCCGTGAGAAGTGGTAACATCGCAACTCCCGACGTCACTACGGTTAGCGGTTAGCGGTTAGCCCGGTTCGACTACACACCGCGATAATGCCTACCATCCAGGGCTTCAGCACCATGAGAGCGCGCTCATATGTGTTCCGTCTACCGTTATTCACACGCGCCATGATTGCTGTTATGGTGGCGTTCTGGATTGTCTCCATCCAATCTACGTGGGATGTGCGACAATGGGGCGCCTTAATTCCCAACGAATTGACTCTGTCCACTAGTCAGTTCCCTTTGCTCCTATAACATATGCTCTTCTTTATGTGCTAATGCGGCTTTCATGTAGTGTACCGAGTGAATACCTTCCCATTAATACACCTTAACTTCTTCCACGCCCTCTTCAACATCCTATCCTTAACGCCGCTCCTTGAGAGGTTTGAGAACGAGTTTGGAACCTTGACCTCTCTTGCACTGTTTTTTGGCCGTAAGTGCACTTACTTGTTCATATCGTGTTGCCAGTTCTTACTAGGGTGTAACTTGAGTTAACACGTACTGCAGCTTTAACAACGATCCCGGCTTTGGTCTACATCTTTTGGGAGAAGTTCATTGTGAAAGGAAATACTGCCGTCATGGGAGCTAGGTACATACACAGCCCATTCTTTGACTTTGGGGTTGATACTGATACGTGGGCGTGACAGCATCTGGGTATTTCTTTTACTAGGAATCGAGGCCATTCGAACGTACAAGACCAATCCGTACCTTGTGATAGGAACACATCATGTTCCGACATGGACCACCCCATTAGTGATGGTATTGGTAGTTGAGGCATTGATCCCCAATACTAGTTTCTTTGGTCATCTATGCGGCGTGGGCACGGGTTATTTGTGTAGGTGAACCTTGGGCATCTTCATCTTGGTACAATCTCACTAATGGTATCCTCTATCTAGTCGGCCTAGGCTACCTCAAGTTCCTTGCGCCTCCCGAAAAGGCTTTGCGATGGATCGAAGCTCGCCTGAACCTGCTAGGACGATTGCCGCACTACGTCAGTGTCGACCAGAAGACGTACGGTAGGTTCGGCGTCTTACCAACCAGCAATTCAACCACGCAGATGACGCCATTAGGCTTGATGGGTTCTACGCAGCGATTAGGTCCCTAGTGTGGTTCCAAAAGGTGTCTGAGAAGGGTGGGAAGGGCTTCAGTGAATGCCACCCTGTATATAGCACGTGGTTATTGGGCATTCCGACATTGCATGACACTGGCGTTTCTGGGAGGGAAAACATCATTGGCATCGCAAGGCTGTATACTCATCCGCTCCACAGCACTTGTTTGCAGGATAAGGAGATTGGCTGTCTATACTGCTATAAACTTTTCTTAATGCTTTGAGAGTAATATTTCCGAGTTGGTGTGACTTATTGTCTTGATGTCTTTGGTTCAGTTGTATTCATTCTTTTTCGTCTTGTAACTTACTGGCTCGTAACAGGTTCAAATAATGAATATACCTTTCTTATCCTTATTCCCGATGCACTGAAGGTCTGATTCAGATGTTGAATGAATCCTACCTGGAAATAGTTTGGTTTAAATAACACTTTACGATATATCATTCCACCGGTAAAATAATATGCAATTAATACCTAGGTAGATAGGCTGTAAGGCTGACTACATAATGTCATTTTAGGGTAGGCACTTCAGCTTAATTAAGGACCGGACCCCTGAAAGTCAAGTCACGGTGGGACTCGTGTTACACGCGATCTTGGGGTACCTTCCTAAACTTTCTAATTGAATTATGGCTACAGTTTCAATGTACCTTTAAGCTTTAAACTGTTACAACTTACACATCAACTCCCAACTTTTCCTCAGCGCATAGTCCATTTCAGGAGACTAGAGAAGCCATGCCGCGTCTACTCTGTAAGTCAGCTTTACTTCATAGAGCTAGTTATCATATTAAAACTAAAGCAATTAGCTAACTGACTGAATGTGAAAAATAGCTGCGGCAATGGCTCTGCGCCGCGATCCGCGGTTACTGAAGCTCCCGCCGTACCTCTCCCTCCTATGCATCGTCGTCGGTGTTGTATGGCTACTCATGTTACCTCTCGACGAATACTCACGCCGTACTTATATTAGCGAGAACGCCTTGTTACCTGGCCAGGTCCATACCTATTTTGGCGGCAGCGACCAGAACGTGTTCCGCGCTTACAAGCACGAGATCAACGCCCTAGAGAACAGCACCAATGCCCAAGTAAACGATGAGCTCGAGACTATATTTAAGGGCCTTGGCCTTAAGGTCGGACGACAGAATTATACATACCATTCTTCGGGAAACACGTATGTTGGTGAGAACGTGTACGCTATACTACAGGCCCCCCGTGGTGATGCTACAGAAGCCATAGTGCTTGTTGCTGCCTGGAAGAATGTTGAAGAGGAGTTCAACCGCAATGGTCTTGCACTGGCTTTGGCCCTAACACGGTACTTCAAACGCTGGTCGCTGTGGTCCAAGGATATCATATTAGTGGTGCCGCCCGATAGCCGGGCCGGTATGCAGGCTTGGGTAGACGCGTACCACGACGCTCACGATCCATCCCAAGTGGCTCCGTTGCCGATCAAGTCTGGCGCACTACAGGGCGCTATAGCACTGGACTACGCGCAAGAAGGGCGCTTCGAGTCTATCGCCATCGCGTACGACGGCGTCAACGGACAGCTGCCAAACCTGGACTTGATCAACTCGGTCGTTAACATCGCGAGCGGACAGATGGGCATGGGGAGTGCACTGCAGGGGATCTTAAAACACTCGCAGAAATACGACGATAATCTAGCTACGGTGCTCCGAGGTATGCTCAACCAGGCGTTGGGACATGCCACGGGGCCTCATAGCAGTTTTATCCCGTACCACGTCGATGCGGTTACGCTGAGGCCGGTGGGCAATGGCTGGCATGACGAGATGGGTCTTGGACGACTAGTTGAAGGGATGTTCCGAAGTCTAAACAATCTGCTAGAGAAGCTGCATCAGAGTTTCTTCTTTTACTTGCTTATTCATAAGCACCGCTTCGTCAGTATTGGCACGTATCTACCTAGTGCGATGCTGGTCGCTGCGAATTTCACTATTATGGCTATTGCGTTATGGGTTAAGAGCGGGTACAGAGAGGTTGATGTGCCAAAGGAAGAGCAGGAGAAGAAGCCGGAGATAGGAGAGGCCAAAGAAGGTGAAGAGGTAAAGGAGGTAAAGAAGATTGCGAAACCGACTTCGGTACCGGTTGAGCGAGAAATACTTCTTCCACTTACTCTCGTAGCGGGATGTCAGTTCCTTGGTGTCATTCCGCTATTTGCCTTCAACCAGACGCCTTCTAGTGTAAGTCTTCCTGTTCTACCCCGTTTAATCCCTACTTCACCATCCATATCCAACACCACCCTCCATACCAATTATTGAGCTAACTCGCAAATGCAGCTCCTCACGCCAATTTTCATCCTCTTTACTATCATCAATGCCGGTCTCCCACACCTCGCCTCTTATTTCTTAACAAATGGCATCCGCAAACCGCCTACGGCCCAGCAGTACCTACTCATCCGATCGTTCTCCCTATTGCTACTGGGGATGTTCCTCTCGTCCCTCGCAACTCTCAACTTCTCGCTCGCCTTTATCATCGGCGTCTTATCTAGCCCGTTGTCGTTTTCCCGCGCGTGGCCCTCTTCCTCTCCTTCCTCATCCGCTTCTTCTTCTACAAATATAGAAAATGGTGCAAACGTAGCGATATTCAGATACGCACACTCAGCCCTCCTACACGCCCTAGCCCCTCCCGTCGTCCTACTCATAAGTAGCGCATTGGCCGGTGTAAGTATACAGAGCGTGCTTGAGGAAGCAGCGTTCGGGTGGCATGTCTGGGGTATGTATACCCAACTTGTCGTGTGTTGCGTTTGGTGGCCGGCGTGGCTGGTGGGCCAGATCATAGTACTTGGACAGCCGAAGGAAGCCGGGGGTAGGAGTACGGGAAGCGAAAAGGAGAAGAAAAATTCTTGATTTTGTTGCAAGGGATTGTTGGCTGCATGGGTGGCTTTGCTGTGATTATTGAGCTGGTATACTGTCCGAATTTGACCTGTCAGGTGGAATTCAGCAAGGTGTTACGATACTGGAGGTTTTTGCAACAGGCATTGCTAGAGAAAAATAGATGGCTAGCTAGCTACAGCGATATCATATTCATTATATTTGAAATATTGCCGTTCCAACTATTCAAGTAATATGAAACTTAGGGACAGGGGTCCGAGGTTATCTTACGATACTTTAACACGGTGGACAGGTAGTAGGTGGACGTCTATGATAGATAATGATGTCTTTGATTACGAGGACACATAGCTGCGTCTAATTAGTCGGGGCGATTCAAAGACGGGGTAGAATAGGGATATCAAGAAGTATAATAATATCCTTGAGGTTACTATAAACGGTTAATAGGCATCGTAAAGCATCACATATCACATTAAACAGACACCCCTATTCATGTCTTCATAAACTCGGACGTTATGCAGCAATACGTTCAGTCCTCCCGCCGGGACCGCACGTCGTCTATTAATTATCTATCATACATGGCTCGTAGGCCGTCCCGTATGCAAGAGAAGGCGCTGTGCTCACATTGCTTCTCTCGAAGTCGTTGCCTCTTTTTTTTCTTGGTGGGTAATCTTCTTGCTTTAGACAGATAGATGGGCAAATCAAGGGGCCCAGATGTCCTGCCCTGTAGCTTCGATCCAGTTGCCCAGCTTATTGACGTTCTCGCCCCACTCGCCCAGGCGCTGGTTCATGCTGGCGATCTGCGCCATGTCAAGCACACGCGGTTGCACCCAGGTGAAGTTGACCAGCTCGTCGACCTCGTCGATGGTGCCGCGGACTAAACCCAGGCTGAGGGCCTTCATGACCAAGTGCTCGATCTCGTTCTTGCGGACCTTGGTGTCGGCGGATATGGTGCCGAAGCTCATGGCACGCTGATGCGGGGGCCGGCGGAATACGCTTTCGGTTAAGGCCGCGAGGTAGATCTTCTGGCGGATATCCTCGAGGTGTTCTTTCAGGAGCGGGTTGGAGGAGATGTGGCCTGATAAGACGTCGTACGCAACTAGGTCGCCGCGGTTAAAAGCTAGTAGTAACTCCTGCAGCCAAGCAACGTCGCCGGTTAGGGCAGCGAGGATAGGGTGTTGCAGCAGCTCGCCGAAGTTGTAGATGGAGTCAGAGACTAGAGCGGCGATGCCCAGGTCGTAGGCCCGAGCGCGGCGCTCGTCGGGGGAGAGAGAGGACAGGTCGATGCAGGCGAGGTAGAGGAGGGCGTTGCGGTAGTAGGATGCGAAGTCGGCCTTAGCTTGGTAGTAGTCGGCGTTGACCTGGTAGAAGGCAGCGTGGACCTTGGTTTCTACGCTGTCGAAGGAGTCGAGGATGCGTTCGGCCTTATCCAGATCCCGGCGCGAGGCCTCGAGGTCCCGCAGGTTCAACTCCACGCGGGCGACGGCGGCTAGGGCATAAACGAAAGCGTCTTGGGAGTCCTCGTGGTCGGCCTTCTTGGCGAGGTCGGATAGGAAGGTGAGACGTTCTTGGTCATCTACATACTACAGTTAGTCGGATGCAATGTATAATACATGGAACTATGGAATTTGGAATGAGGCAATTCACCTTTGCATTGGGTAGCGGCCTTCAAGCCCAGGTCGACAAGCTTCAGTTGGTTGATCTTATCAGCAAACTTTAATATGAAGACCTTGTAGAACTTGAGGCGCTGGGGCTCGCTCTTGGGGTTGGCGAAGAACTCGATCAGAGCGTCGGTAAGCTGGTGCCATAACTTGCGCTCCCAGAAGTTCTCGAACTGGATGATGAGGTACTGGAGCTCGTCCGGGGTCTCGTCCCGCTGGTCGGCCAGGAAATCGGCGATGGTGTCGACGTTCATGATATTTCTCTAGGCTGTGTTTTGTATGTAGACTCTGCGGGAATTATGTATAGGCGAGAATGGGTCGAAATTGGTGGTGTTTATGGTTATGATGTTAATATTGTATAAGTGGAAGTTGGAAGCTTCTGAAGCTTCAATCAATACGCGGCTGGTGTGCAGCCTGTCCAGGAAGGAGGTACCTTTGTACCTATTATCTACCTAGGTAGGTAGGTATGTATGTATTTTGTACCTTACATAGTAGATATCTAACCTAGGTACCTGGGTAGGTACCTGACTCAGCATGGAGATCCAGTCTTGGCTTATTTAATCTGTGGCTCAACCTCAACTACATAGGTACCTACCAGCCAATTTCTCCAGGCGCATTAGGTACCTAGCTCTGACTTAGGTAAACTCTACCTAGGTACGTATTAATGAATGTGGCTTGACACCTTGAACGTTTAGAGCTTCGATCCCGCTAAGAAGCGAAGTTCGGTATTCCAAAAGCTTCAAACATCACCGGCCTCTCTTTTAGCAATTGGAAAGGCTGCGTCATTCTTGCACCCCGGTATCGAGCAAGGATGACTTCCTTTCCGACCGCCGTGCGGTCCAGTCGAAAGCTGGCCTTGAATTTAAACCACAATCTAAACCAGGCCCGACGCATTTCCGATTTAACAATAACCCGCACCGGCAAACCCATCCTTCGCGTACAAGGTGGCAGGTCAGTCGCTCCGATTCTTCGTCTACCAATTACCATTACACTAACGTGGTTCTACCTATAGGTCATCTCTCGGAGGTAAACAGCCAACACAATATACCCTGCGACTCTTCCGATCCTAACGGTTTATATAGGTCATACCGCGACAGTATTTGGCGCAACGGGACAGCTCGGAAGATATATCGTCAACCGATTAGGTACGGGGAATACGAGGAGATGGCGATTCCTGTCCTGTCTAATGTCATGTCATAGCCCGTCAAGGATGTCAGGTTGTCATCCCGTTCCGAGAAGAGATGGCCAAGCGTCACCTTAAGGTTACTGGTGATCTGGGTCGCGTTGTCTTCCTCGAGTACGACCTATACAACACCGAATCGATCGAAGCGAGCGTCAGGCACTCCGATATCGTATATAACCTTGTTGGCCGGAATTACCCTACCAAGAACTACAGCTTAGAGGACGTCCACGTCGAGGGCACCGAGCGCATCGCCGAGGCCGTTGCCAAATACGACGTCGACCGCTACGTCCACGTCTCGTCTTATAATGCCGACCCCAACTCGCCCTCCGAATTCTTCGCGACCAAGGGAAGGGGTGAGCAGGTTGCCCGAAGCATCTTCCCGGAGACTACCATCGTCCGACCGGCGCCCATATTCGGGTTTGAGGATAACCTCCTCCACCGGTTAGCCGGAGTCACCAACCTATTCACGTCGAACAATATGCAAGAGAGATACTGGCCCGTTCACGTATGTCTATCGTTGACGAGCTGAAATGCTAAGCCAGTCGCTAATTTTAATAGTCGATTGACGTGGGCCAAGCTCTAGAAGCTATGCTATATGACGACAACACGGCCGGACAGACCTACGAGCTTTACGGACCCAAGAACTACTCGACAGCCGAAATTGCCGAGTTAGTCGACCGAGAAATCTACAAGAAGCGAAGGCATATCAACGTGCCCAAAGCCATCTTGAAGCCCGTGGCCAATCTGCTCAACAAAGCAATATGGTGGCCAGTGCTCTCCGCAGAGGATGTGGACAGGGAGTTCATCGACCAGAAGATCGACCCTACGGCTAAGACTTTTGCCGACCTAGGCATCACGCCGGGCGATATTAGCAACTTCACATACCACTACTTGGTAAGCATCGCAGCCATTCCAGACGAGTTTACAATATATTAACCGTTTGAACAGCAAGGATATCGTAGCTCAGCATTCTATGACCTCCCGCCGGCGACGGAGAAGGAGAAGCGGGAAGACAGGAAGTACGTGCACGTATTAGACGAACAATAAAGGATAACTTACAGGCATTTCTGTGCAAATATGGGAAGAAACACTCGTATTGCGCTGTACATATATACTAGACCTAGTAGTTGTCCTTGATTTAAAAGTTACGAATAGTACTTATTATAAGAGCTTCCTGGTTTGTAGGGTAAATATTATGTTATAACGCCAAGAGTGATTTGCTATGGTCTTGAGTTTGCGACTGAGATTTGCTCTTAAAATATTTTTTTTTTCTTTTGCGCCCGGCGAAAACTCATCAACTTATTCAACTTATTCCTAAGCCAACAACACCTAACGAAAATAAGATCAAATCAAGTCTTACTTAACAACGTAGATTTCCTTCTTCTTTTCTTTTCTTTTTTTTTTCTTTAAAATCAATTCGTAAATGTCTGCGCAATATGGCCGAAAGCAGCGACGACGAACAAATGTAAGTGAGCCAGCTCAGGCTGCGAGATGATGATAAATACCTACCTAAACACATACCTCTTATGACTGCTGCACATATCCCGTCTCCATAGCATATACAGATTATATACAGCTGCTAACCTCCACACTATATACTCGGTGCCCTCCCTCCCTATATTCAGTAGTTTGCGATATACTAAAACTGGCCTGTAGAACCCTCTCGTCCCACGCTCTCGCAGCGCTGCAGGAGTTCTACGGAGAGCGCGATGCACACGTCGACAAGTTTGAGAAGCTGAAGGCGGTGGCTGAGGACGAACGTGTCATCTCGCAGCCGCTGTCTATGGATGCGTTTACCGAGGACTGGAATAAGTCGCAGTTCTGGGTATGTTCTTATGCCCATTTCGATTTCTTCTCTCTTTTTTTTTTTTTTTTTTTTTTCTTCGGGGTCGTTTGGATCGGTCTGGGGTATATATATTTGTGTGTGTGTGTGTGTGTGTGAGAGAGAGAGAGAGAGAGAGAGAGAGAGGGAGGGAGAAGATCGCTAGCTGGGAAGATGAAGGGAGACGAGACAGAAGCAAATAGACAATAGAAGGCTAACTGTGTGTTGCAGTACTCGGACGAGACGGCTATTCTGTATGCGAAGCAGCTTCTAGATGGCATACGCGAGGACGAGGTTGTTGCTGTGGTATCAGTGCCTACCGTGTTTATTGCGCTGAAGAATCTGTTGGTGAGTTCTAATATGTCCAACCCAAACTTCTATTATTATATCATGTCTTCCTATCCAGTCAGTTAGTAGCTAGGAGAAGGGGGAAACAAAGGGCTTCATTATTTCACAAAACATATATATATATTCATTCCCCCTTACTCTCTAACCCTATACACGGTAAATACACCGAAGTTGACGTAGAACACTAACATCAATATACCCTCCTCTCAGAACGCAGCAGACGCCGACACCCCCAAGCCAAAGAAAGTCGTCTTCCTCGAGCACGACCAGCGCTTCTCCGTCTTCCCCGAGTTCGTATTCTACGACTTCCTGCACCCTATCAAGCTTCCCGCAGAACTAAAAGGCAGCGCCGACCGCATCATATGCGACCCCCCTTTTCTCAGCGAGGACTGCCAGACCAAAAGTATGTATCCCCTCCCCTCCTACTTGCCTTCCCCCCTACTTGCCTTGCCTTCCCCCCTCTCTCTCCTTCTCTCTTCATATATACATACACCCACGTACACAACATCCTATCTACTACTACTTCTCCCCCCTACTCCCAACTAACACACACACGCCAGTGGCTCTAACCATCCGCTGGATGTCCCGGTCGCGCCCGCGCCTCATAGTCACCACGGGCGAGCGCATGGAGCCGCTAATAACGAAGCTATACCGGTCCCTCGGCGCGCAGACCACTACGTACGAGCCGGTGCACACGCGCGGGCTTAGCAACGAGTTCTACTGCTATGCCAACTTTGAGTGTGACGCGTGGAGCTTCAAGGGGGCCAAGTGAAGACGGGCACGAGAGATCGATTGATGCTTCAAGACGGACGTATGTAGTTAGTTAGTTTAACCAATTGCCTTTGTCTGTCCACCAATGTTTCCCTCTCGTCTTCATTTTTTTTTTAAAAAAAAAAAAAAAATAGATATCGCGTAAATACCAGTTCGTTTGAGCTACGTGCGTATTTCACTACCAAGCTTCTCGAATAGCATAACTACCTACCTACCTACCTAACCTTTATGACAATTATATCGTTCACAAATACCATCACTTCTAGACTCTCCGGTGGGCCGAGTGTTTCGCTCACGCCATGTTTTGTAAACGATGTAGGGTGGGAGCTTGGGGGTAGGGAGCAGGATGGAAAGATGATATTAGAGATCAAAGGAAACGCCACAGCTACCATAGGTGAAAAGAATCGTCGGGCGAGACTATTCAATAAACCCCATCCAACTCTTACGATATTGTCTCCATTTCGCTGTCTTCATTTGAGTGCCTAGCCTAGTCAATAAACCGGCAATATACCTACTCGCTATCACTCGACAAATCAAAAACCCAAAGGCCAAAAACATGAAATAGAGGTGGTCATAATACCTATCACTCTATGCGCTGTTTCTCTATCTTATTCAAACACAACACAATGCCGAAAGAAGAGAAAAAGAAGAAAAACGTAAGCTCATCGCGCCCCAAACCGTGTAAATGCGTCATCAAAAACACCGCCGTCCAATTCCATTTCGGTATATTGATTGGTTTGCCACCAACGACAAACCACCACCACCCCGCCCCCTTTACGCCAGCGACCGGATGATGTAGAATAGCAGATAAGCCTGGCTGCCCAGGACGTCGGATTTCTTGGCCAACTCGACTCTGTGGTCGTTAAACGAGAACCACTGGGACGCATGTTAGTATTGCCTGTTGAGTTTTGCGGTGCTTGGGAAACTTACTTGATCTCCAACCCGAGAATACGTTACGTAGTGTCCTGTCTAGGTCAGCTTAATGAAACTTACATAGGGTTTAGAATACAACTCACCCGTATCGATCTCTCCAACATGCTCAACGACGCTCAATAGGTCATATGTACATGATCGCCTTAGTTCCTGACTATCACGAGCATCTGACGTTCGACTACGTGTGGTATATGGAAGCATGTTTAGTTGTAACGGAAACTGTACTTTCGTGCTGATCTTGGATGCAACACGATCACGACTCCCCTGTTTGAACTCGAACCTCTGGATACTTCAATGTTAGCGTTCCTGTTGAAAACTTCAGATGGCTGATACTGACCTTGAGCTGTATAGACAGTACATTCGGTAGCAGCTTTATGCTGTGATCTCTCCGCGCTTGTTGCGATGAATTGCAGTTCCTACACCGATACTCGCACTTGTCGGATTTAATGTACTCCTCGTCAAGACATTCTTGCAATGTTAGTGACGCGGCGGTCTTGAGGGCCTTCTTGCCCCTCTTCTGTGACAGGTTCTCCAGACCCAAACTTAGGTCAAGGAAAGACTCTATTGCATTGGTAACACCACCGCAGTGCTGGCAAGTCGTCTGGCTTTGGAGCTTGCCGTAGAAAGTCTGGTGGATGATGCAATTGCAACTATGCTCACTGCCAGTTTCGGGCTTCTTGCCATCTCCGTTCCTCTCGTGTAACTCTTCGGCCAAGAACTGAAAGAATTCATGCGCGTCTTGTTCCTTCGTAGTGACTAGGTTCTCAAACGCCTTCTTTTCGGATATCCAAAAACCGGACAATATGTTGGCCGCCGTGTAACCGTTAGTATTTTCGAGGGCGTAGAAGTCTTGGAACATATCGTCCATGGCGCAGCTAAGGCAGTGAGGTACCTGGCAATCGCTGCTCTGGTGGCCGTCGCTCAAGTAGAAGTTCCTTAGTAGGGGGTTGTGAAGAAAACTCTGCAATACAACATTTTGGTAACAAGTCGCACCGGCATTGTAGATTCCTCGGAGCCCGTCTGCCCTACACGATGCGATGGTGGTATTAGAGGATATATATCTAGGATCATCCTTTAAAGGATCTTTCACAGCATCCGAAAACATCTCTTCGTGTTTTCTCTTACGACCTAAATATGTTAGACTATTGCTTATGGCAAGATCCGGGGGGGGAGGGGGCGTGCCAACGTACTTGAGAATGAACCAGTCCCTATCTTTCTCACCCTGAGATCGTCCAGAGTTGGGTCCCATACAAAGTCTTCGCAGAACTGACAATATAGTGAGCCACTCCTTGAGTCGACATCTGTTACCAGTCAGCCGAGATTCGACATGTCATATGTTCACCTGAGACTTACAAAACCGATGGCTCTTCTTGTTCGCATGTTTTGTGCGCTCTTCTTCGGTAACAATGACAGAACATTGCAAGCAGAGGTAGTTCGAAGTTAGAGACGTAGTTATCAGCCCATCTGGACCCTTGCAAGTCTGCGGTACCAGGGGGTTGCCGTCGAAGATGACTCTCAGCAACATCTTATAGTATTGGATTGAGTTGTTTAGGACATCTGGGTTGTTGGATAGTAGTATTTGAACGTGCTCTAGAAAGGCTTCAGTATATACCACAGCAAGACATTATATCCTGCAAGCTTGGAACCAAATAACTAACCACAGCCAAACAAGGGCGTCCCCGGTGTGGGCGAGTTGATCTTGACATTTTTAGGGGACGCCGGAGTGGTAGGTCGCGCAGCCATGCTTCCTACTATGATCCTATGATCCTATGATTGCAATAGACTTATAACAGGTATACGAAAGAAGTTCTTCAATGAATTGGCGAATATGTATGCAATGACAGCCGCGCAGGGAGGAGGATTCGGTCGAGTGTAATTAAGAGGCGGGCGGCGTCGGAAATGAGAAGGACAAAATTGCGATAACGAAAGGCTCGAACGACCGAACGATTTAACGACCGTCGCCCGGAATTAAGGAGGGTAATGCGCTATAGCGAGGCCCGTGTAAGAGGATGAGTAGAGTTCGATCGTGTTCGATCGTGGGGTGAATGCGAATGTGAATGTGAATGTAAATGCGAATGTAAATGTGCCTTTGCAAGAGACGGAAAATGCAGCTCAGCTACTGGCGATGCGCTCGCTTCGACTTCTAAGATTCCCTCTTACTTCAGCCTCCCCAGTATTAGTTAGCTCTAGTTATAAGGCAGGAGGTAGTTATTAATTACGCAAACAGCTCTTTAGAAACGTACAAAGCTTTCGAAGCTACGATACGAAGTTAGGATAGCTATTAGACGATTTGTTGCCAAAAAGCTTGCACGGTGCCAAACCTACCTCACCTCACGTACAGAAAATAATTATTAACTAGACGCCGTGCAGCGTCATTCAATAGGCGCAAGATAGGTACAGATTACAGGTGAAGCAACATGCTAGAAATTCTTATCGGCACCTGATTTACGGGCATTTTTATCTTGCTTATCCGAGCGCGCTAACGGGAAGATCAGGGGTCATAGCAGCTATGCAGCTACCTAATGCCAGCCATGGTTACAGGTAGGCAACCTACCTAAGCTTAGGTTAAGTATAGTACCTCCTAGACAAGCGCTGAAGCGGAACAAATAGCTAACCTAACCTACCTAGGGGATGAGCCCTTCCCGTCATGTCGCTATCAGTTCCTAGTAGGCAGTAAGTAACATCGATGCTAACCTAAAATTAAAGTCGGTACCTGAAGGTGATGACCTACATAAGGAAATCTTATATCGTTGGGACCTCGGCATTTCAATCATCTCCAAGTGCATCTACCCTGTCTACCTGTCTACCCTCTACCCTCTACCCTGCTACCTTATCTCAGATACGATCCCCAGAATGGTAGGCACCTCGTGCAGCTCATGGCATAATTGCACCTTATTCTGTCCTCATCGCTGATATCATAATCTACCACTGCTCTCAGTTAATAGATAATACAAGATCAATATCTATATGATTTACATCCTCAACTTGGTAACTTGGTGCATCCGTCCTTTTACGTGGCTGGCTTATTACAAGCTATCCTTTGACTAGTTACATATAATTTGACCTAGTTAACAGTGGTATGAAAGCATTCCGAATAGCTTCTAAAACCACCATGGCCTCCCAACTTGTCCACATCCCAGAGGTTGAGCGGTTAAGTCCCGCTTGTATCCGTATTCTCGGTGGCAATCCGAGCAAATTCGCTCTTCAGGGCACCAATACGTATTTGATCGGAACAGGCCCCAAGAGGTTATTAATTGATACGGGCGAGGGCAAACCCTCGTGGATTGCGGCCTTAACGCGGACTCTCGAAGAGGAGAAAGCCACCATCCAAAGTGCTCTTCTCACTCACTGGCATCACGATCACACGGGAGGCATCGGCCAGCTATTAGAGCACTCGCCACAAACAGCCATCTATAAAAACCAGCCGACAGAAGGTCAACTAGATATTTCAGAAGGTCAGAAATTTGAGGTCGAAGGAGCTACTTTGACAGCTGTCCATACTCCGGGCCACGCTGCAGACCACATAGTCTTCGTCCTGCAGGAAGAAGACGCGCTATTCACAGGTGACAACGTTTTAGGGCAGGGCACATCCGTCTTCGAAGATCTCGGAACCTACCTCAAGAGTCTAGCGAAGATGGAAAAATTAGTAGGAGGCCGCGCATATCCAGCACACGGCCCGGTCCTGCCGCAGGCGAGTGCTACTATCGCTGAATATATATCTCACAGGCACCAGAGAGAGCAGCAGGTTCTACAAACCTTGGGTTCCGCGAAAGACGGCCATCTCTGGACTCCGATGGACGTAGTAAAAGTTATATACCGGGACGTCCCGGAAGCTCTCCACATTCCCGCCGCAAATGGTGTGGTCCAGATCCTGCGGAAGCTCCGGGACGAAGACAGGGTCATATTGGAGGATGGGGATGCGTGGCGTCTTAAGGATCGGTCAAGTTTATAAAGTTATCAGCCCACGTACGGGGCGTGTCGTGACACCGACCACATCGGTGTAGGCTGCAGGGGCCGTTATTGAAATGCCGGTGATAGACTCAAGTTTCAACGGATATGAGTGGAAACAAAGTCCGGTTTTGATAGAGAGGTATTTCAGCTCATACATTTACTTACCTAGGTTAGGTATTCAACATAGCTACGGTGATACGTTATCTTGTATCGCATCGCTGGTTTATAGATCTGGCACGAGCGCTATTATGGGGTAGTACCAGCATGTCGGGAACCGTCAACAAGATCCCAGACGATCTGTCGTCATTCTTCGGGATTTACGGCAAGATACATGCCGTAGAAGCCGAGTCGGGTTTCTTTTCTTTTTCTTTTTTATCGAATTAGGTATACAATTTTGAAAGCCGATCCTAGCTCGTCTGAGTAGCGTTGGGCTGTTACGCTACGACTTCCGGAAAGCCGGAGGCCAAGAACTGCTGTATAAGCAACAGTCTTCTCGGAGTCGATTAGTTGGGGCTAGGAGTGAGTTGAAGTCTGTTAGGATTATCCATATCTATACCTACATATGTACCTGTGTATGTACCTGCGTATGTACATCCTTATTACAGGTACATAATGTATTTAAATTTCAGATTCTATTCGGCCTCGTCCATTAGGCTTCGTAGTAAGGGACGGGACTTGCGGAGTTTACCAAAATTAAAGCCTTGTGGAATAGTAGTCACCCTCCCTATGTGCTGTAAATAAGAGTATTGGGCTGCGGATGTATGTAATTCAAGTATGGGTACCAACAGCGAGCCAGCCTTACGGTCAGGCGGTGTAATGGGAAATGGCTATGATTGACGGGTTCCCCATTCTGTGTAATCACTGTAATGACCCATCTTCGCCCTACATACATAGGTAGACAAGATGGATATATCCCTTGTTCGGACTCGGAGTCCCGATTTGTACCGTGACTCGAATTCGGCGTCGACTTTACACTTGTGTTCCGAAGAGCGAAAGACGGGGAAATATGTAACCTAGTAATGGGTGATTAGGAGTTATCGATCGTTCTAAGCGTCTAAACGGATATATTTCCCGGTATTTTTGGGCTGTCTTGTCTTCGTCACCCAAGATCTTGGCAAAATATAATCGATCGATCTAATTGAACCGTTGTCCTAGCAAGATCCATTGGCCAAGTAGCCGACGTTGGGGCTTCTACATATATACATGCACTATGCATATATATACCTAGGCCATGTCATGCTCTACCAAGAAGTATTAGAACCTGGTTGTGGATTGTCTCGTTGGCATGTGGGATTGCTGCAGATCGAAGACATACATATGTATGTAGTATAGTAGTATAGTGGTAGCATATGGTAATCGAATATTCGCTCGTACTCGGTATCGGTCTAGAAATGGCTTCAATGACAAACCCTCGACAAACCCCATCGAAATTAGTTTCCCAATATCTCTGTGACTACATACCTACACCATCGCTTAATGTCACCCTCCATCTTTCCTCGGAGGCTTAGCTGATGGAGATTCCCATTTTACTACCTACCCCAGACCATATCTGTCACAGATATCATCCGAGGGGGTATCGGACTCGTCGCATGAGTACGTACGACTTGTCATGCGCTCTTCACTTTTAGACTTAAGGATTTACAATACAAACGGTCGTCAATTAGTGTGTGACAGCTCTCGTGCATGATGGCGTCCGGGTAAGCCAGTCAGTCTAAGCCAGTCTAAGCCAGTCGGTCCCTAGTCAAGCGATAGACCGACGTTGCTAGGGATAGTGTTAAACGGCGAAACACCTTCTCGGAGTTAAACAGATCGAAGTTGTATCGATATTTAGACTCGGCTCTCTCCCAGGGATTTATACGTTAACCACTACACATGAATCCGCGTACGGGATATGGTAAGCCTCAGCTGATCGATCGCAAGGTTATGCCAACGTCATATATTGCTGTTGTAACGGTCTCAGCCATCTGGTCGATAACGCTTATGGAAGAGCACCGGCATACAAACATTTGAAGATGCTATAGCTGTATACTATGTAGGTAGGTAGGTAATCCGTAAGCGCTACCAGAGGTGTTGTACATTAACGCCGGCTTTTTTAGTGTAGCATCCTTGCGTCCAAGTACCTATGTACAATACTGTCTTACTCCACTATATTAGTAGCGACGAACTACATAATCCCTGTTAGCGCGGCTCCCCAAGAACGCGAAAGGCTGAGAAGTCCTGCGCGGTCAGCCTGAAAAGGTAAGGGGAGTCCACACATGATCAGATGAAAGAGTATTTCTAAGCTCAGATATGCATGTCTTGCATAGGTAGGTAACAGATATCACCAACCCTATAAGTTTTTTAGAGTACGAAATATTCACTATAATAGCTTTAGGGAGAAGTCTAGGAAGTATTTAAAACTGTTCACTTTATACCAAACCAATGCGGATTGCTGGGCGTGTACCTTAAAAGATATGTGACACGGAGGAATACATCCAGAGGAACATCCAGAGGAATATGGAACCTACATCTTTATGTCCGATTGCGGATGACGGGGTCGTCGGATACCTATCGTTCTTTCATGTCAGAAAAAAAAAACTTATTGATCCTTTCATAATTCGGGTCAGACTATAGGTCAGAAATTATTATTCACCATTGGCCGGGAAGCTTCTAGTAAAGGAAGCCATGTCGCATGGCTAAGTGCGGAAATACCTAACCCTGTCGAAGTCGTGAGGTATCGACGCTCTGCATACATACATCATAGGTTATGTACCTAGCGGAAAGTGGGTACCTTCCAAATAGCCGATGCTGTCATTTGGTAGATTAGGTACATATGCAATCCGTATATTTTTATGTATTCCTTCGGCCAGCAAGTACATACACGATTACATTACACTACATGAGACTAGACATGGGTATTAGTTAAGGACGACTCATTCCTGCCCCGAAGATATCCACAGTACCATTCTGCGAGCTTCTTTAAGCCCTTGACAGCCTCAATCAACATCCCATACCGCTCGTTCTTGGGTTTCGTTTCGGATACTTCGGATGAACCCATCGTGCTATTTTTTTTTTTAACGCTATCGCTCGATGGCTCATCAGAAACAGATGGCGCGAACAAATGACAAGAAGAATGCGCCCGGGTGGGCCCGGCTTTTTTTTTTTTTTTTTTTTTTTTTTTTTGTTAATGGCCAACATCGAACGGAAAGAGTATGTTAGGTACATTCAGACATTCAGACTACACGAGGTAAGAAGTATCTACGAGAGGGCTATTACTTCTATTTCTACTATTTCTACTAGCTCATGTACGTAAGTAGTACTTACCCGTAGTATATGCCTGTATGTATAACCCGCCTGCCCAGCTACAGCCTACCGTACCTACCTTCAATCTCATGGGCACAAAGGGCGCCGACACCGTTTTCCGTCTTGGTATGTACAAAATAAATATATTCCAGAGGATATGCACCTTCCACTCCCTCCCACCAAGATGATATTTATGAAAAGCCTTCCTCTCCCTCGTTCGTCTCGTTTGTCCTTCCATACTTCCATACTTCCCTACTTCCATACATGAGGTAGCATACTTCCGGATACCACCAACCACTATTTTGCCCAGTCTTTGATGGTTATATACATCCAGCTTTCTACATAAGCTCTACATGTAGGTACCTACTTGCCGTGAACAGCTTTCATAAAAGTGCCTACGTCGGTGAAGCGCAATTTCTAACCGTGCTAGGGTACAGATCGTTCGAGGGCTAACCCACCTAAGGACAAAGAGCTCGGCCGGGGGTATGTAAATATATGTCTCCCGGTTGACCCGCTCAATTTTACCATTCAACGTATTCCAAACAACTTAAACCGATATGAGGTCGACAGCTCAGTTTGCGCTCAAGGCGCTGGCGCTCGTCGCCATAGCAGGAGCTATTCCTACGATTCTTGCCCACGGTCACGGCGACGAAGACGCGACAAATATGGATATGGATATGAACATGGATATGAGTAAAGAGGATCCAAAACCAGATCCAGAATCGTACCCGCCCACGTATTTTTCGCATCCAGAGCACGTAGTCGAAATATATACGCATATCGCACTAATGGTCGTCGGTTGGGTAATCATGCTGCCACTAGGTATGACCATCTTGACAACTCCAGGACAGGTTCATAATGATTCTAACAGTTCCTTTTAGCTGTCATGTTCTCGATTGCGCGATCCCGGTATACGCTCCCCGTCCAATTTCTCTTCCTCATCACGAACGCGCTCGGCGTTGTACTAGGTATTACCTACAACGCGAACACACCCGATTTGTATCCCAACAATGCGCACCACAAGCTTGGCTGGTTAGTCACTTGGGTCGTCAGCGCGCAAGTGTTTATCAGTCTCGTCGGTCGCGTCGCAGGTGTAATAGGCAGGAAAAGAACAGAAGGAGTCGACAAGGAGGAGGAGCAGGCGTTCATTCCGGTTTCGACGGAGGCTATGGCTGAGCACCAACGCATTAACGATGCGCTATACTCTCACCCATACCGCCACTCTAACGACAGTGGGCAAGGCACCGAACCGAATACCGAGTCTTTGAGAAGTAACTCCTTGTCGACCGTAGTGGGTCGGGAATCCCCTATTGAGATGAGCGACCGACGAATCCACTACGACGATCTCGAAGATGTTCACTTTAAGCCCGCAGAAATGTTAGGTTCGAAGAAGACCAACTCGTTCGTCGCCAGATTTGCCGGCAAGATTTCCACCAGAGCATGGAAAGTTTTGACGTTCGCCTATAACTTCGTCGATCGTACTATTCTTATCCTGGGTTATATTGCTCTGTGTACTGGTGTGATCACATTCGGACGATTCTTTGTAAGTTGGCCTGAGTGGGTATGTTAGGATTACGTCTTCGTGAGCTAACCGGTCAATTTAGGAGGGTCACAGTATTTTCAGCGGCTTAGCTCATTGGATCAAGGGTGGCATCTTTTTCTGGTACGGCCTTTTAACTCTCGGAAGGTGGTCGGGAAGTTTCGGTGAGCTGGGTTGGGTAAGTCGGAGCGAACACCGTACCCAATTAACCGATGAACATGACTGCTTACAAAAAATACACAGGCATGGAATGTCCGTCCGAAACAAAGCTCGCAGAAATGGAGGCCAACTGCGGAATTTGTCGAGGGTGCGCTTATCTTCACTTACGGTTCAACCAACATCTTCCTGGAGCATCTTGGCAGCTCCGGTAATGAATTCAGCCCTCAGGATCTAGAGCACATCTCCATCACGGTTCTCTTCATCGGAGGTGGTCTGGTAAGTCATTCTTGTGTTGGCCGATATGTGTGATGAAACTAATACGGTTATACAGCTTGCCATGCTCATTGAGTCGACGCGGATTCGGGAACTCCTGAATACTACGGTGTACGATGCAGCTCTCTCGCATCCGAACCACGCGTACGGTGATGAGGAACGTGAGGCTTTACAGGCACCAAGAGGTTACGAATTTTCCATCAATCCCATTCCGGCACTTGTGATCTTACTTCTTGGTATCATGATGAGCTCGCACACGCAGCACAACATGGTTTCCAGCATGGTTCACAAGCAGTGGGGCAACCTTTTAACTGGCGCTTCTTTTGCTCGAGGGTTCACGTACATGCTCGTATATCTCAAGCCCCCGCGCTCGATCCTGCCATCTCGACCTCCGACTGAGCTTATTACCGCATTTGGACTCATTTCAGGGGGTACCATCTTCATGGCGAGCGTAAGTCGGATCCCAGTTACTGTACCGCGTTTCAGGAGCTAACAAGAATAACAGGCCAACGATACAGTTGGGGGAATGATCCACTACGACCTAGACGCCATGTTCTTCTACACCGTTACTATGGGGTTAGTCGGTCTGATCATGGCCTGGGAAGTTATCCTCCTGGCCCTCAAGGGTTGGGCCGTCCGAAAGGAGTCCAGCCGATCCCCGAAATCTTGGGACCTAGCTTCCCGCGTTTAGGCGGTCTGGCCGGAATCCCTTACGAAATTTCAACAAGGAAAATTATGATAAACATGCATGGGGAAGCGGCCTAGTTAATCAACCCCCCCAGTACCATTAATAACTGGGGTTGTTAACTATTACGGGTAAATTCTTGAATTACGGCGCATTAGGGGCGGGGTGGTCGATCGCGATATACCCAAGATGCTCCTCTTTTGTTTTCATTTCATATATATCCATTTGCATTCTAGACTTTCATTATTACCGATGATACCCCTAGGGAAAACAAAGTACGATTATTTACACGGTGGAATTTGGTGGGATCGGTATTGGAAGGAACTATAAGGAAGCCTAAGAACTAAACTAGGTTGTCAACAGTGAGGCAGTCTTGGAATGACGGGCAGGGTGGAATGGATTGTTAGATTAGCTCAGGCAAGTATTTAATGGCTGAATCGATAATGAGGTTGGGTTCATTAAAGCAAGAAAGGGTGTGAGGTATATCTGTGTATGATCTCGTCCAGTTGACGATTACCTGTCAGTCTATACATGACAATTCTAGCTATGAATAATCCGCGCCAACATTATAAATGGTTGAAATCTTTTGATGGGGGTTACCAACGATTACCAACTTCAAGCTTGCAACTTAATGTCTAAGGAATGTAGTAAGGGGTGGCGAAGAGGCTGGATTATACAAGTGCTCTCAGCTGGCTGCTATTCTTCCACGTCTTATATATTTTGAAGTATATTGACTGACTATAGAGGCTCAGTGTATACTACCCGTATCATACATATAATCCACCAAAAACTCAAGCTATATGGCGTAGCTAACGTGTATCATACTATACGATATTACTTGAAGGCCAGGGAAAGTCGCACCAGTCTTTATTATGATGTTTATAGGCTTTTGTTCCGTTATACTAATTAGCTAGCTGATTAGCGATGTAGAACTTGAGACTTCCGATGGCATTACATTTAAATAGGTTTACCGTCAAAATTATTAACCGAAGTCTCATTAGAATTCCACTTATAGAATACGGCTATAGGTGAGTATGAGTTAGGGAAGAAAGATGAGAAGATACTTGCTCTCTACTGCTCGCCTTCATTCGCCGTTACTAATTTAGGCTTAGGAACCTAACCTTAGGTAGGCCAATAAGGCACTAAAGGTGTGTGTCGCAAAGATGCAAGTTACATCATCTGCTGCCCATCCTACTACCCCACCAAGCACATGTACCATGCAGCATGTTGGACGCAGGCAGGCGCAGACCAGCAAGGAATAGAGAACTATACATGTAGGGAACTAGCTTGCCATTGATCAGCTTGATATCGTACATGGAAAGGACGATTTGACAAATATTTAAACTATTGCTAATGTCCCACCAAATCCGAGTAACATAGGTACTCTAAATTCTAATCTCCCCATCTAATTATTCCATATTCAAATCCAAACTCAATCTTCCTTTCGCAACACCCTACTTTTACCGTGTACGATGACGACTTTCAAGAGTACCCCGCTATACGGAGGAGCTCTCATCTGCGACCTCCCAGCTAGCTTCGCCGACGTGAGGTACGTTTGCAGATACTCTCTTATATCTTATATCCCGAATATACTCCAACACTAACTGTCTGGTTAACCGTGTATTAGTCTTATAAGACAAGTTCCCGACCACCAAGAAGCATATATCGACAAAGATGGCTTCACCAGCATCATCTTCGACATCAACGAGCGCGTTGGCGGCCCGGGCAGCGGTCCCGAGATAGACGGTCGCGCCTTGACTACGCACCTTGAGGAACTTGTAGGAGAAGACCTCGACAACGTCAAGGTCTGGAATACCACACCCACTGTGTTCTCCCGCTTAGAGTACGTATCATACTAAAACCAATCTTGCGCATTCATTCGTTCATCCATTCGTTCATTCCTTCCGACACCCCCACGATCCCTTCGAAGACTAACGCGCGCCATTGCACTCCGAACAGCGACGAGATCCCCGCTTATACGCTGATCGCAACACACACGACGCAAAAGCCCGATAAGCACACGGACGATAAGCCCCAGCGGCCGGTCAGCAAGACGGACTTCACGGCTATCATTCTGACGCTAGTACGGCTAGAGCGCGAGAAGACGGACTTACTCATTACCATCAACGTGCCGCATATCCGCGGCGAGTACGACGAGGACGACGTCGACCTTCAGCTCGGCAAGCAGGGCAAGCTCATCGGCGACGCCGTCGATTACGCCGCTAAGATCTGGGAGACCTTCAAAGTTAAGGACTGGGGTCTCTTCAACGAGGTCTAAGCGGCGCAGGAGTTGGGAAATAATGGGATATACTACATTGCCAATGGGAGTGTAGAAATAGCGTTGTCGTGCGATTAGTCGGATTTAAATTACAAAGAGCAGGAATCACAAGAAGGGGAAGAGCATGACGAGGCTTTGCTGGGGGATATTTCAAGGAACACTATTTCCTTTGTTTGTCCATGTTCCGCAGCCCCTCTGGGCTTCGGCTTTGATACGAATCACGAACGAGTAGTTATGGATAGGGGCTAGCATGCATATTCGGCGGTAGGAAAGTTAGGGAAGTGGATATGGAAATGACATATGACCGTTGCTTTAGGTAGATAAGGAGGGATTTTTGTCTCGCGTTCGGTACCTAGGCAGTTATGTTAGGTAGCCTAGATAGTATCCCAATTACCCTACGACTAGGGTTAGATAGAGGCGATGTTGCTTCAAGAAGACGGACTAAAGGCTGTCTTGGCTGTGACCGTTAGTATTTACCTACCTAGGCATTTGTATAGAGTGTCAATCTATAGGTACTTTACTATGAATATCAAGGTTCGTATGATCAAGAGGTTATCGAGATTTCCCTATTAGTTATATGTGTTTAGATAGACTCTCAAATTCTCATTCTTATTCGAGTCTTCAAGACAAACGGTCGATCCAACCGCCAGTCAACCTTATACCTAGGTGCCCTTACCCTTAACCTCACTATGATACGGGGCACATATCCCACCCCGTCTGTCCTAAACGATCGATCGATAGATATATTCATTCCGCCATGCCAGAACCCGTCCGCGTACAACCCTCAGGCGTATACCCGTCTGCCGCGCGCCCCCAGTCTGTAACGTGACACTTCGGCACGACGCTACGCGAAGATGTCATAAGTGCCCCGAGCCTTGCCTGCCTCCACCTCCCGTTGCTTGCCCTCTTCTTCTTCGTCGTCGTCGTCGTCATCGTCGATCTTCAGAACCTCTACTGCAGCCTGCAGCTCCTTCGCCGCCTGCCCGCCGCCTTTCTGCTTCTCTTCTTTCTGCAGCTCCTTCCATCGCACCGATATAAGCGCCATGCGCTCCTTGAACGATAGCCCGGGGTTTGTCTGGCTCAGGACGCGCGTCTCTTTCGTCATGAACACCTGCCATGCGCTCTTCTTCTTGGGTATCATCGTGGCGGCGGTGCTGTCTTTTCCGCTCCCGGTCCCGCCTGCATCGGTGCTATTACCCGGGGTACTCGTCGCGCCAGCACTAGAGCCACGCGGCACAGGCTTAATCTGCACCAGCCGTCCACGACATCCGCCGCACCGCTGTCGTTCCGTATCCACGCTCTTCGAGTGTCTCTTGACCTCGCTGCCACAGTCCCCGCAGCGCCAGACGTACTTGTACTCGATCTCGTAGCTGTGCTTCGTGGTAACCCGGATACCGCGGTCGCCGAAGATGGCTCCGCACCGCGCGCCCCAGGCCTTGAACTCGGGGCCGTGGGCTGCTGCTTTCATTTTCTTCTCGCCCATACCACGCTCGGCGTTAGGGTCCGTGTTGGGGCCGCCGAGTATGAACACGGCCAAGTGGCAGAACTCGTGCGCGACCGTGTTCAAGAGGTCCGCCTCGTTGCCGAGAACCTTGGACGCCAGTTCGATGGACGCGTTGTGCTGACGCATGGTGGCGCCCTGACTGCTAGTGCCGTCGGCGTGCCGTGTCGTCGTAGACACTGTTCTGCATTTCCAGTGCGCGCGTCCGGCCGTCGTGAGCAGGGAGTTGGACCAGGTGATCTGCAAACCTCCCGTCTCCCGCGTGAGCTGTGCTAGCTGGCCCTTCGTCACGCGCTCGTCTAATTCGCTGAGAAAGGTTTGTGCGAGATTCTCCTTGCAGGCATCGAAAGCACGCCGCGCGTCCCGGAGCTGCTTTGCCGGACTCGTGCCGGGCTTGTGCTTAGCAGTTTTCGGCGCGGCCTGCTTCTTCGCCTTGGTCGCCTCCTCGGACATATCGGCCTGGGGCTTCTCCGGCGAGTGCTCATCGATCCAGGCGAAGTTCACCTCTGGGTCCCAGAACTCCTTATGCTCGGGCTTCCAGGGCGATGCGGGGATCCTAGGTGTCTTGAGGGGAGATGCAGGCAGCGTCTTCTGCGTCCTCTTGGGCGTTGTAGGCTCTAGCACATGTTTCTTAGCTGCCTTAGTCGAGGGCTCGTCAGAATCGGAGTCCTCGTTGAAGCTAGCGGGACGGTTAGTATTAATCAATATTGTTTGCGCCGTGGCAGTGATGCTAACTACTCTTGGCGTGGCTTACATATGAAGTTTTTGAAAGGTGTCTTCCAGATTTCCAGGTTGGGATGGCTTGAAGTAGTCAAGAATATTTTTCTTGGGCTCGCCTTGTTTGGGTGAATGTTTACTTGGGTCGACGATGGTTGCCTGGGGTTGTTTGTTGCTGGGTGCTGCCTTTTTGCCTGGGTCCCTGAACAACGTTCTCTGAGGCTTCGCCCATTGAGTAGTGGGACTCCTTGAGCGTCGCGTGGGTGGTGTTAAGGAATGTTCCGAGTCTGAGTTCCACGTATCCGATTCGGATTCTGATATTGAGACGAACTCGGAAATTTCCTCTTCACTTGTGTCTATGATTTCCTGTATTGTATCCGATTCTTCTTCACACTCGTCCAAAGGTATTGATTTCTTGGTTAGCTTCGGATTCGGAGGAGCCTGTTTATTTTCCTCATGTCCATCTTTCCGTCTACTCTTTTGATTAGGTATTTCTTTTTCTTTTGGCAATAGAACCGGCTTGGTGCTGGACGAGATCGTACGAGAAGCTGTTTGCCGAGCCGTGGCCGGCAATTGATTTGATGCATCTCCGGAGGGTACATCTGGTTCGGTGTTTGCTCTTTGTATAGGAGCACGAGAGCTTCTTGGTTTTGACGTGCGGCTATCTTTTCCCTTGGTAGTTGCGATGTCATCCCAAGGTTTTAAGAGGGACCCGTCCACAATCTGACCCTGGCCTAGCTTCCGTCGTCGAAGAGGTGTCGATTTCACTGCTGCATTTTTCACTGCTGCATTTGACTTCGTCGTCGTCTGTGTGCTTTTTCTGTCGACTTCCGGCTTTCCTGGTACTTTATGAAACCGACCGACGACCACGTCTACCTCTGGGAATTCATCCTCGCTACTATCCCTTAATTTACCTTCTAACATGTTTTCGGTGCGGGCTCCCCTAATGATATCATGCCGCGGCATCACCAGGAATTACGAATATATGGTTTAGGCTTATGTTGGTTAGTTACTCCATAATAGAATAGAAACGTTTTTCTTTCAATGATCTGTTTCCATGGAGAATCAATAAGGTTTAGGGTTAAAGTTTGATAGGTTATGATAGGTTATGATAGGTTGTGGTTGCCAGGCAACGCGGGGTGCTGGCCTGTTCCTCCTGATAGGTGCAGATAGGTCCACTATACGGATTACGTACTACATATATATCTCCAATATTTCAAGCATACAACATTGAACTTTTATGTGCAGCGGTGAGAACTCAATTCGGTATAAGGAGGTAAATCTATTTAGTCAATTTACTATTAATTCATCGTCTACATTTTCCTCTTCTCATTGCTTGATAAGTGACTACTTTATAAGAGACTAGTTAATGGGACTTATTTACGGTTATAAGAGATTAGGTATGATTGGAAATGTAAAATGAAATACAGCGCCGTGCATTTGACTACCTTGGGTAATCTGTTAACCTAATTGGCTTCCAAATAAATAAATTGTTCATCGTTCAACCAGCTTTTATGAGGTAGTTAGTCAATGCTCTTATTAGTACTCATGGCTTTGTAAGCTTAGTTCGTTTAGTTCGCTTAACTAAAGACTCGATTGACTTTAAATAACTCCGAAGCTAGTCGAGTTGCTTATCTACATACATAGGTAGTCTAGGTACCTATGTATTTATCTTCCTTGCACCTTAGCTCACCTTGGACGCGGATCTGGGCCCTCTAAAAATACCGAATTTTGGCGGCGTTAAGCATCGAGAGGCGTAGCCAATCAGCCAATTAGGATGCTGGCGTTGGTGCCCTCTGCCCCTGAAATTTGAAAAAAAGGAATCCTACCATCCATCGCCCGATCTCGAGATTGACCCACGTCTAACAAAGTAGCCTAGAATAGATTGTACATTCGAGAAGCGTGTGGACTATCTAAGTTTAATTTTGCTACTAGGAGGTATGTACATAGGTAGTCTAAATCCTATTCCTTCTCATTCTCAGGGGGTTTCCTTGACTTCGAGCTCGAGATAACATTTTCTGGTTCAACCCGGCTGATTGAAAATCTTCCACCCAAGCCGCTAGGTTAGTTTATTCCTACAATTACCACACTGTCCAGAACACTGTTTAATATGTACATAGCACATGCTTACATAGCACATGCTTATGCTGATCTACAGATTTTCCTCTGCAAGCACTTCTAATCTATCGAAGCAAAAAAAGGATAGTCTTCAAATCTTTCGGTACTAGTATCTAACCTAGGGCTTTGTGTCGCACGCCTATCAGTTTCCGTTGGTCCAGTAAGAACTATTCTTCTTAGCCATTGCAAACTAGACGCGTGGATAGTTCTTCATCATGCATATCTTCTTGCAGGAATAATAAATTACCCTACGTGGATAACACCGTACGCACACGTATATGATTTGAGCATTCCGTCATTGATAACCAGAAGAGGGAATAATGGCCGGTACCTGCATATAGCGTAGCTCGTCATTTGTAAGCGTTGGGGTGGTCAGGGTGTGGTAGTAGGTAGTGGACGCCACCGCTACCCTTTTAATACTGCGAAGCCGTTTCGGTCGATGGGAGGGCGTCAGAGTCGCGTCAGGCTCTCTATGTACATATGTAATTGAATGCGGACGAAGAGCATCACCAAGGGTTGTGCTGGCACGTGTCCTTCATACCACAGTAGCATGATGGTATACTGCTACCGATGCAAATTCCTAACTTGGATCGTATTCAAGAGAGGGATAGGTGACTACATATGTACATACATAGTTAGACAGAAGAGCCAGTGGCAAAAGTTGGTGGGTTACACCGTCGACATACAATACGAAGAGAATTACGAAGAGAATTTAGAATACGATGTTTGTTCGAGAATTGATACGATTCCTTTTTCTTCTCACCAGTGGTAGCAGTAGCTATAGATACCTTATCGAGGTAGAATTGCGCTCTTATTTGTTAGAAGCCTTATGCTGTACCCAATATACGAAGCAGTGGCACATTGCTTATATGACATCATCTCTTTGATTATATTATGTATTTTTAACTACGCGCATATAGATAACAGCAAGGGAATTTTCGTGATAACGAACGAGAGTATAGATTAACTTATCCTCAAGACCTGTTTTTGTCGACAACATTGCCGGCGATAGGTGAGCTGTAATCGTGTCGCTATGTATGTAGTGTAGAATACCTACATGTATTGAAATGCATAAGGTAAAAAGGAGAGGTGGGACGATAACTTATTCTGATGGAGGGTACGGCATTAGCTGCTTGTATCAGAAACACTGGCTAGGTTAGCCCATTGAAAATAGAAGACTAACGGCCGGCTCGGTACACTAGAGCGGGCAGCATTATGTACCTACCTCTTGATAGACCTTGTGAAATACCTAAAACATAGTAAAGCGTAAACTTTAACATGCATCTGTGAAAAGAACATCAGATGACAAGATGACAAGATGACAAGATGACAAGATGACAAGATGACAACTGAAACTTTGATCTTAATGTGATGGCTACATATACTTAGACATACCTAGGCAAGATTGTGTCAAGAGTTCTGGCAGCGCAAACCAAAAGTAAAAAGATTCAAGTCTGGCTTTAAGTGGTTTTGTACATGAACCTGTATGTACTTGCAGGTTACAGTTTCCTTAACACTGTACATCTTTACCTTTTTAGCACCAGGTACAGGTCGGAACAAGCCCATAAGCCCACTAAGTCCTACACTATGTAATACCCCCCCTGTTATGGCTGGTCTGGTCCACCAATAAGGGGCTAAAATCCTGCTCATGATGAATCAAGGACGACTTGTTTTGGCAACTGCCAACTCCACCAGTCCTTTGCCCTCCCACGTCCTTTTCTAACAAGTTGTAACCTAACCTAGGTACCTACATATCAATGCAATCAATAGCAAAATACCTTTGCTTTAGAAGGAAACTCGACTGCATTACCTGCCCCACACCTTCGCCTCCAGCATACACAGCCACGTCCAATGCCAACCTCCACTAGGTCGCGTTTCCATTGCGGGTAGAAAAATGCCCCGTTTCAATCTCGATCTGGTCTAGAATATGCACTGTGATAGGAATAGTTGACCAAGAATTCTCGTGAAGCAGGCTGGGTAACGTTGGCAAGCTGATAAAGACTGGCTACCGGATGCACCGGTGGGCGAATAATAACTTATTTCTACCTAGGTAGGTAGTAACTAGGTTAGGTATGTTACTTTGCTGCCCAGCAGCCCTAACCCATTAACACTGTGTACTACATGTACATAATGTACCTTGAACCTCTGTAATTAAGCTTACGTAGGCACGTCCATAGGTATTTACCTAGGTATTGTACTGTTGCACACCCTGGCTAAGGGGCGATACATACTAAGCCCGGGTGGGCTGGGCTAAGCTTTGCCTGATTCCCCCTGGCTCTTTTCTCCTTTCTGACATTTTTCTTGATTCTCGATCCCAAGTTCCACGTCCCAAAATCCCCTTTCCCCCCTTTCGCCCTTAACAAAACTTGTTTTACACTCGCTTTCATCCTTCGACTTCTAAATTCTTATCTTCTCATACTCTCTTTCTTCCTCATTTCAATCTTTTTGTACCATCTTGCCGCTACAACTCTGCGTAGAAAACGTCAGGGGGGCAGCGCGAGGATCTACAGGAATAGGAAAGAGAATAGAGATTCCGCTTTACGCACAGAACCTAGAGGGAGCAGCGTCCACTTGGTCATTCCTTCTTTTTGTCTTTCGCTCCCGCCGTCCGTTGATTCAACGCACGCTCGTTTAACGGCCCGCGAGAAACGGAAACTCTAAGGGACACCAAGAGTATATTGCTTGTCGATAACTATCAATCGTTCATCACAGCCAACTCAGCCCACAGATTGTAAGTGAATTGGAAATCACCGACCACCCGGCGAAGGGAGATAATTGTGAGGTGGAACTTGTCGGATTCGCCAATCAAACGCGCCTTTGGTCACGCCTCGGTTTATCCTTAGGCATCTGTCAGGGGCTTATCGCGCTAATCATCTCACTAGTTTGCACTACTATTAGTGCCGACCTACCGCGTAGCCAGGAACCTTGGAAGTTAACATTCACTTTTGCACTTCCAACTTTTGACACCTGCGCCATCCCGCGTCAGGGGCTCACAGCAGTAAATACACCCGTCTTTCCTCGCGAGTCAACAAATAATCGCAGTCACTACTTAGTACTAAATTCGTCACAAAGACAACTCCTGCTTGTGGCCGGCCACATCGACTCGATATAACAAATTAATAATTTTAATCTCGACAATTTGCGATTGCTTGACATTATTCAAGCCTCTACTGTTACACTTATAACATCCCTGATGAGTCCTTAATTTGTAAGTAAGTTGGTAGGACTTATTAGATGACATCTCCAGCAAGTATCTCTAGCTACTTTTCATGGTGCTAATATCCTAGTGCTCTAGACCGCATCTTTCGCATAGTCTTGATTTCCCAAGATGTCAGGCTACCAAGGAGGTGGTGGTGGTGGCGGCGGCGGCGGTGGCCGTCACGACTACGATGACGGATATGGTCAAAACCACGATTCGTACTACCAAGACGACCAGAATGGCCACTACTATGACAATGGTTATGATGCCCATGGGGGACAGCCGCAGCAGCAGCAGCCACACCATGGAAACGGAAACGGAAATGATGGCTATTACGATGAATCGTGAGTTTTTATGGCTTCCCATTTGCAACTAGAGATGATTACTGACCACTCATAGTGGTTACTACAACGCCGACGCAAACAATCCTTATGCCGCAGAGGGTGGTTACTACGATAACCATGATAATTACCAAGGAGAGTACTACGACGATGGCCATGGCGGATACTACGACAACTATGGTCAAGGTGGTAATAATGGCAATGGAGGACGACGCGGCGATTCCGAAGAAGATTCCGAAACCTTCAGTGACTTCACTATGAGGTCAGATATGGCTCGTGCCGCGGAGATGGATTACTATGGCCGTGGCGACGAGCGGTATAGTGGTTACGAGCAAGGCAAAGGATACCGGCCCCCTTCTTCTCAGGTCTCATATGGTGGCAACCGCTCATCTGGTGCCTCCACGCCCAACTATGGAATGGACTATGGCAACGTTCCCGGTAGCCAAAGATCCCGGGAGCCGTATCCCGCATGGACGTCTGATGCGCAGATCCCTTTATCCAAGGAAGAAATTGAAGACATTTTCCTTGATCTTACCAACAAATTCGGGTTCCAGCGCGACAGTATGCGGAATATGTATGATCACCTTATGATTCTGCTTGATTCAAGGGCATCTCGAATGACGCCTAACCAAGCCCTTCTGTCGCTCCACGCAGACTATATCGGTGGTGAAAATGCCAATTACCGAAAGTGGTATTTCGCTGCTCACTTGGATCTGGATGATGCCGTCGGTTTTGCGAATATGGGCAAGAAGTCCAAAAAGAAGAAGTCCAAGGGCAAGTCCGGCGATCCAAATGAAGAACAGGCTCTTGAAGACTTGGAAGGTGATGACAGCTTGGAAGCAGCCGAATACAGGTGGAAGACCCGCATGAACCGCATGTCTCAGCATGACCGAGTTCGCCAGATCGCTCTATTCCTTCTTTGCTGGGGTGAGGCGAATCAAGTGCGTTTTATGGCCGAGTGTCTCTGCTTCATTTTCAAGTGTGCAGATGACTATCTCAATTCGCCTGCCTGCCAGAATCTCGTCGAACCCGTTGAGGAGGGTACCTATTTGAATAATGTGATCACACCGCTGTACCAGTACTGCAGAGATCAAGGGTACGAGATCTCTGACGGAGTTTACGTTCGTCGTGAGCGAGATCACCACCAGATTATTGGCTACGACGATTGCAATCAGCTTTTCTGGTATCCCGAAGGTATCGAGCGTATTGTTCTCGAGGACAAGAGCAAACTAGTCGACGTTCCACCGGCAGAACGTTATGTCAAGCTAAAGGAAGTTAACTGGAAGAAATGCTTCTTCAAGACCTACAAGGAGACACGTTCTTGGTTCCACATAATTGTTAACTTCAATCGTATCTGGATTATACATTTGACCATGTTCTGGTTTTACACTGCCAAAAACGTTCCGACTCTTTTGGTTGGTTCGGTATATGAACAGGAAGTCAATCAACAACCTCCCAACTCGGCACAATGGTCTGTTGTCGGTGCTGGTGGTGCTATTGCTACCTTGATTCAGATTATTGCCACCTGTGCCGAGTGGGCGTACGTCCCGCGACGATGGGCAGGCGCTCAGCATCTCACTAAGAAGCTTCTGTTCCTACTCTTGGTATTCGCCATCAATATTGGTCCTAGCGTTTATATCTTTGGTTGGATAGATAATCAGGAGACGCAACCCGCTCTGGTTCTGGGTATAGTCCAGTTCATCATTGCGCTTCTTACCTTTTTGTTCTTCGCTATTATGCCTCTTGGTGGTCTCTTTGGCAGTTACCTCACGAGAAACTCTCGCCAGTACGTTGCAAGCCAGACGTTTACTGCTAGCTGGCCGCACCTCAAGGGCAACGACAAAGCGCTATCATATTTTCTATGGGCGGCTGTTTTCGGCATCAAGTTCGGAGAATCGTACATCTACTTGACTCTGTCTCTTCGCGACCCGATTCGTTATCTTCAAATCATGGATGTCTCGTCTTGCGTGGGAGACATGACCCTTGGGACGGTACTCTGCAAATACCAGCCAATAGTAATAATGGTTTTGATGATTGTCACCGATTTGATTCTCTTCTTCCTTGATACTTACATGTGGTACGTCTTGTTGAACGCGGTCATCTCTATCGCGAGATCATTCTATTTGGGATCTTCTATCTTGACTCCTTGGAGGAATGTGTTCTCGCGGCTTCCCAAGCGAGTCTACTCCAAGGTCTTGGCTACTACAGATATGGAGATCAAGTACAAACCGAAAGTTTTGATCTCGCAGATCTGGAATGCCATAGTCATTTCCATGTACCGAGAACATTTGCTCGCCATCGACCATGTCCAGAAGCTGCTCTACCACCAAGTTCCTTCCGAGCAAGAAGGCAAACGCACTCTACGTGCACCAACGTTCTTTGTATCTCAGGAGGATCATTCGTTTAAGACGGAGTTCTTCCCCACCTACAGTGAAGCAGAGCGTCGTATCTCTTTCTTTGCCCAGTCGCTGTCTATGCCGATTCCAGAACCTGTCCCGGTGGACAACATGCCTACATTCACTGTTCTGATTCCTCATTACGGCGAGAAGATTCTCTTGACCCTCCGCGAGATCATCCGTGAAGATGAGCCTTATTCCCGTGTTACGCAGCTCGAATATCTAAAGCAACTTCACCCTCATGAATGGGATTGCTTTGTCAAAGATACCAAGATTCTTGCCGACGAGACGTCCCAGTTTAATGGAGACGATGAAAAGGGAGAAAAGGATACCGCGAAGAGCAAGATCGATGACCTGCCATTTTATTGTATCGGTTTCAAGTCTTCTGCTCCTGAATACACTCTACGAACACGAATCTGGGCATCTCTTCGTTCGCAAACGCTCTACCGTACTATTTCGGGTTTTATGAACTACAGTCGTGCTATCAAACTGCTATACCGTGTTGAGAATCCGGAAGTTGTTCAAATGTTCGGTGGTAACTCGGAGAAGCTAGAACGCGAGTTGGAAAGAATGGCTCGACGGAAGTTCAAAATCTGTGTCTCGATGCAGCGTTACGCCAAATTCAAGAAAGAGGAGATGGAGAACGCCGAGTTCTTACTTAGAGCCTACCCTGATCTGCAAATCGCTTATCTTGACGAGGAGCCTCCGGCGGTTGAAGGTGAAGAGCCGCGAATCTACTCTGCCCTCGTCGATGGACACTCTGAAATCATGGAGAATGGCATGCGACGGCCTAAGTTCCGCATTCAGCTCTCTGGTAACCCTGTGCTAGGTGACGGCAAATCCGATAATCAGAACCACTCGATCATTTTCTACCGTGGAGAATATATTCAGCTCATCGATGCCAACCAGGACAACTATCTAGAGGAATGCCTAAAGATTCGCTCGGTATTGGCTGAATTTGAGGAAATGAAGTCTGACAACATCTCGCCCTACACACCCGGTGTCAAGACCGAGTCTGTAGCCCCCGTCGCCATTCTCGGTGCCCGTGAGTACATTTTCTCGGAGAATATTGGTATTCTTGGCGATATTGCCGCCGGTAAGGAACAAACATTCGGTACCCTCTTTGCCAGAACCCTGTCTCAAATCGGTGGCAAGCTTCATTACGGTCATCCTGATTTCCTCAACGGTATCTTCATGTGCACGCGTGGTGGTGTCTCCAAGGCTCAGAAAGGTCTTCATCTGAACGAGGATATCTACGCTGGTATGAATGCAATGCTTCGCGGTGGTCGTATCAAGCACTGCGAGTACTACCAGTGTGGTAAGGGTCGTGATTTGGGTTTCGGTTCCATTCTTAACTTCACTACGAAGATCGGCACTGGTATGGGTGAACAGCTACTCTCTCGGGAATACTACTATCTTGGTACTCAGCTCCCTCTGGACCGTTTCCTGTCTTTCTACTATGCCCACGCCGGTTTCCATCTGAACAACATCTTCATCATGTTGTCTTTGGAGATGTTCATGATCGTCCTGATCAACATTGGCGCGCTTCGACATGAGACAAACGCTTGTGAGTACAACCGGAATGTCCCTATTACGGATCCCATGTTCCCCACAGGATGTCAGAACACAGATGCCCTTATGGACTGGATTTACCGCTGCGTCATCTCTATTTTCGTCGTGTTCTTCTTGAACTTCATACCTTTGGTTGTCCAAGAGTTTACAGAACGTGGTATTCTACGTGCTGCAACTCGTCTGGCCAAGCAGTTTTGCTCTCTCTCCCCCTTCTTCGAAGTGTTCGTCTGTCAGATCTACGCCAATGCTGTGACACAGGATTTGACTTTCGGTGGTGCTCGATACATCGGAACTGGTCGTGGTTTCGCCACTGCTCGTATCCCCTTCGGTGTCCTCTATTCGCGTTTCGCGGGTCCTTCAATCTACTTCGGTGCGCGCTTGGTTTTGATGTTACTATTTGCAACCTTGACGGTTTGGCAGGCGGCGCTGGTATATTTTTGGATCTCGCTCATTGCGCTGGTTATCTCGCCCTTCCTTTACAATCCTCACCAGTTTTCGTGGAACGACTTCTTCATCGACTACCGTGACTATCTTCGCTGGCTGTCTCGTGGTAACTCTCTCAGCCACGCGTCCTCGTGGATTTCTTTCTGTCGTCTCTCTCGTACCAGAATGACTGGTTACAAGCGCAAGGTCCTAGGTACTCCGTCCGGTAAATTGTCAGCTGATGTTCCTCGTGCTGCGATGAGCAATGTCTTCTTCGGCGAGATCTTTGCACCCCTCGCTTTCGTCGCATTAACAGGCATTCCGTACCTTTTCATTAACGCGCAGACCGGCGTCCATGCCCATCAGGACAAAGTTGTCCCGACTGCATCGCTCTTCCGTGTCGCTATTGTTGCTCTTGCCCCTATTGGCATCAATGCCGGTGTACTCGGTGCCATGTTCGGCATGGCTTGCTGTATGGGACCACTACTGAGCATGTGCTGCAAGAGATTTGGTAGCGTATTGGCTGCCATTTCTCATGCTTTGGCTGCCATCTTTCTCCTCGTGTTCTTTGAAGTCATGTTCTTCCTTGAAGGTTTTGATTTCACGAGGACGCTCCTAGGAATGATCACCGTCGCAGCCATTCAGCGGTTTATCTTGAAGATTATTATCACATTTGCGCTTACTCGTGAATTCAAGACGGACCAGTCCAACATTGCGTTCTGGACGGGCAAATGGTACTCTATGGGCTGGCACTCGGTTTCCCAGCCGGCACGTGAATTCCTCTGCAAGATTACGGAATTAACCATGTTCGCCTCCGACTTCGTCCTCGGTCACTTCATTCTATTTTTGATGTTCCCAGTCATCTTGATCCCGAAGATTGATATGTTACATTCGATGATGCTCTTCTGGCTTCGTCCGAGGTATGTTGCTCTACTACCTTTATTTTTGTTCTAAGCTAACGATGTGGTATCTAGTCGTCAAATTCGGCCGCCTATCTACTCGATGAAGCAGTCGAAGCTCAGGAGGAGACGTGTTATTCGCTACGCTATTCTGTACTTTACTCTGCTTGTTGTCTTTGTCGGTCTGATCGTTGGACCCGCCGTAGCGGGCAAGCAGATCGGACCTACTTTGACCGATGCTCTAAGTGGCCTTGGCATCCCGATCGCGCAACCGGCTGGCCAAGATCATAACGACACTAAGAACCATACTCAAACCGGTACGGGCAGGCCAGGGTACTCAGGACCCGGTCTAGCATCGATGACAAAGACGGCGGACGCCGCTGGTTCAGCGGAAACGGACAAGTCAGATAGCAGCGACGATACTCGGAAGTTCCGATTTGTCTAAGAGGGACACTAGAAGGGATGCTTGTACCATAAAAGAAAAAAAGATGGTCCTAGTCCCTCAACCAGTACGAGATTAAGTGGAGTGCTGGTGTGATATTCCAAGTTGTTTTTTGATGCTGTGTATTGACTAGGTAAAGAAGGCGGCATGGCACATGGTATTTTCATTCTTCCTAAAGTCATGGCATCAATATTTGCAGGGTTTTTCTTCCGTTTTTTTCTGTCTCTGGAATGGAAATGAGATGGTGTTCTATACGTAATGATAAAGGCTCCGATTGCATTTATTACTTATTACTACGATGACGTTTTCATGCGTGAAGTATTTTTATGTGACATGAATGATGTCGATGTCGATGTTGATGGCGGGGGAGTAAAATAGAATATCCCACGCAACAAGCAAGTATTATAGTGCAGTATTATAATTAATATTTACTATCAAGTGATCACATATAGTTGTTGGGTATCTACTTGATTTTGCTGTTAAGACCTTAAACAACCCTCCTTTTTTGGGTTGTTTGATTTGGCTAGTTGAAGAAAGACGGGATTCCAGAATAGGGAATGTTTGAGTCTATCGATTGAGCCTTGCTTATTAGTAAGGCTCTTTTCGTACCCGAACCCGAAGAGATAAAGTAGTGCGACAGATAGTGCAACGTGAATTTACACGCTACATATACGGAATACTATAGTAGGCAGTATGTACGGCAGTTACGCAAACTTGGCAACTGCAAAGATACCCTGAGTGCATAATAAGATGCATATTACAGTATATAATTGAAGTTAATGTCTCAACTTTAAAAAAAAGAGAAGTTGCCACTAGCTTATTAATATGTAATGAACAGAACGTGATTGTTTCCTCGCCAATCCCTGATCTTCCCTGTTCCCTTACGTTCATGTTCACGTTCACGCGCTCGCACAATCCCACCACGTTTCCTATTCTTAAATTTTTATATGTAAGATATATATATATATAAATTAAAATTAAAAATCCAAAACTTTGCATATACCTACGTATTTCCCCAGTTCTCCCCCACAGTCATCAAAAGTTGCTCGTGCAGTTCGGGACACCTCGGAATAGATTTGTAGAGACGATCCCCTCTCCTCGGATGTCAAGGATTCGGACTAGTCCCTTGGGTCTCATCTTGAGATCGACACAAACCACACCGCTTAGGCACCGAATGGCGAAATAGAGGCTGACCGGTTCATGCCGAGCTAAGGCCAAGGAAAGACTAGTGAGGTCTTCGGGGCCTGTAATTTATTCGCTTGACCCGGCGGTTTGCAACAAATGCGGCTGTTTATTTCCCGCCGTCCGACTTCAGCCCGCTTTGCCGTCGCCGCCACCGCCGCCGCCGCCATGCCTTACCTTGGCTGCGTTTGGCAGGCAAACGCTAATTTTTATCGCGCCCGCGTTTCTAACGGCTAACGGCCCTACGATACCATAAGGGGACGTCCTAATGGTACCAATGCCAGAATGACTCGAGGTGTGGGCCAGTCCTGTGGGTATCAATGACGAAATGCGGATGAAGATCTTCAGGTCTGCCCCCATAATAAAAGGCACAAATTTTGCTCTCTGCTACAAATCACAGCCTGGCCTGACTGTCACATTTCAATTCTCACGCGGTCCGCACGTAATGCCATGCATTGCGTCCGCCCGCGCTGCCCGTTGTTGGTAGCTGTTGGTAGCTGTTGGTGCTGCAAACTTCTCGTGGAGTGGACACCAATCTAAGGGTCTTCTCAGACGTTATGATGACATTTCCTCGGCCCTTGCTCGGTGACACCCACCCACGAACTCAACCTCCACTGCCTCTCAGCAGGTTGCTGCGATAGAGGCGTGAGGACCCTTTTTTTTCTTGATACGGACCCTTTTTTCTTGTGATTGTCAGAGTATTCCTGGTTATGCTGGGATATACTGCGACATACGTATGCGAGGTAAGAGGTCGTGTAAGCAGATCGTGTAGCTCAACATAAACATATATAAGATATCCGGTGGACCATACTCTCCTTATCCCCCAACAGCCTAGAACTCGTTCCATTTCCCTATCCTCCAGCTTTTCCCCCTTCTCCTCATTCTTACCCCTTCTCACTCCAGGTTCCCGTAATCTTACAATCTAGATTTCCCCCCTGGACGAGTCCTACGTAGATAGCTACGGCAGCCTACGACGATGGGGCACAAAGACAACGCCGATGGCGCGCCCACATACTGGGGCAAGTCTGGCAAGACATTGCAGAAAATGATCACGGCCGTAGCGACGACGGATTTTCTGTTGTTCGGTTACGATCAGGGCGTTATGTCCGGTATCATCTCGGCTCCCGCCTTCACCTCTGACTTCCCGGAGGTAGATGGGGACAGCACGTACGAGGGTTTCGTCGTGTCCATTTACGCTGTCGGCTGCTTCTTAGGTGCCTGTTTCATTCTCACGTTCGGTGACCACCTCGGCCGCCGCAATTCTATCTTTACCGGAGCTACTATCATGATTATTGGTGTTATCATTCAAGTCACCGCCATGCCTAATGGATCAGGGGGAAGCGCGACAGCACAGTTCATAATCGGGCGGTGTATCACGGGTATAGGCAACGGTATCAACACATCGACGGTGCCAACCTATCAAGCAGAGTAAGTCATTACTTCATTCTCATCTCCTTATTAAAGTGCATAGGATCTAGTTCCGCTAACCTTTGTCTCTTCCGTGTTTTTAGATGCAGTCATTCGCACAATCGTGGAAAGCTCATCTGCATTGAGGGCGGCAACGTTGCGATCGGAACCTTGATTGCTTACTGGATCGACTACGGGTGTACCTATGGGCCTCACGCCTTCGTTTGGCGATTCCCCATCGCTTTCCAGTGTGTCTTCGCTTTGGTCGTCATCCTCCTTATGACCCAGCTACCGGAATCACCCAGATGGCTATTAACGAAGGATCGAAACGAAGAAGCAACCACGGTCCTGGCGGCTCTTAACGGTGAACGCCGGGACGACCCTGCTGTCCAGACACAAGTTGCTGTTATCGTCGACGCTATTCGTGCTTCTGGCCATGGTGGCGGCGTTACTCCTATCTCGGATCTCTTCACTGGTGGCCCGACCCAACACTTTCGCCGTCTCCTTCTCGGTGCCTCCTCGCAGATGATGCAGCAGCTATCGGGTTGCAACGCAGTCATCTACTACTTCCCCATCCTGTTCCAGACCTCGATCGGCACTTCGCACAACCTAGCCCTGCTTCTCGGAGGTATCAACATGGTCGTATATTCCATCTTTGCCACTACCTCGTGGTTCGCCGTCGAGCGGATCGGTCGTCGAAAGCTCTACCTCATCGGTACCGTTGGCCAGTGCTTGTCCATGGTTCTCACCTTTGGTGCTCTGATTCCTGGAACGGAAGAAGCAGCTAAGGGAGCTGCTGTTGGTCTTTTCGTAAGTTGACCTATCTTACCCACCAATGCCATTTGGCTATAGATAACTAATGCTTTTAAATAGACTTATATCGCATTCTTCGGTGCGACATGGCTTCCGCTACCGTGGCTGTACCCGGCCGAGATTAACCCTCTTAAGACACGTGCTAAGGCCAACGCAACTTCGACAGTATCCAACTGGCTGTGGAACTTCTTCATCGTGATGATCACGCCGGTACTACTAAGCAACACAGGACGCAGCGGTTGGGGTACCTACCTATTCTTCGCGATACTCAACGCAATGTTCTTCCCCGTTATCTATTTCTTATACCCAGAGACAGCTGGACGTACCCTTGAGGAGATTGATGTTATCTTCGCTAAGGGTTACGCCGAGAAGATGAGTTACGTTAAGGCTGCGCAAGACCTGCCCCGTCTTACGGAGCAAGAAGTCGCGCAGAAGGCCCGCGAGTACGGGTACTGCTTGTCCGACGAGGAGGCCACCGTCAGCATGCATGAGAAGGCCGAAGCTGTCTTTTCGACCCCGCCTTCTTCTGATTAATGCTGTCACATGGCGCAAGAATTCACGATTAGATGATCGCGCAACGGATCGCGATCATATGTTTTCCTATTTCAACAATGCTCGCCTTTGATTAAGGTCATGACAGTTATGATATTTTGTTATGGTGTTCAATGTTGACGCCCGACACTGCCACATTCGGTACAATTATGATGAATCGGTTCATAAACCGAAATCATGCGTGTTATATTCATTGGGATAATGGAATTACCATTAGCGGTGCCATATGATCAGGAAGTCCACGATAGGCTTTTTTCATATCTGAATTTTTTTTCGGTCTTGAGGATGCTAATCGTTTTCTCCTTCTGTTGTCTTTTTTTATTTTTTCTCATTTTATATTCCCACGGGGTCGTCGAGATATACCCTCGGGTCAGATATGACCCGAAACTGGATGTTGAATAGACTGGTTAGAATCAGTTTATATAGATCTATTAGATTAGATCGTTGTATCTAGCCGCGTTAGAAATGTGGCGAAGTAAGCATGGGCGAGGTCCCTTATAGGCAGGCATTCTGTAGACAGGCATTCTATAGACTATGAATACCAATTGGAATCGCAAAAAAAAAAAAAAACTAGTCTGGCGCAATTAAGAATCTTCTTGGCGACTGTGTTGTCGACGAGCTGAAATGGACGAATGGTCACAGGTAAGAAATCTCGGGGATTGTAGCCAGGTTCGAGAGACGATGTAATGCGGCGCGGCATAACGGCGCTGATTCGCTGGTTGTGACCTTTTGACATTTCGCTGGACCTATCAGCTCTTCGGCGATTTAAGATGGGCTTATGGTAGAATGAGTGAGATGGGATGGTCTTATGGCGACTTGATATGTGCGTATAGTATAGTATGAGGTATGTAAGATGGCCAGGTTACTTACCACCGCGATACGATATGGAAGAACCAACAGCTCACTTGTACAGTTCCACGCAATAGGCACTCCCAAATAGAAATAGAAATAAAAATACGGGTTTGAATTCGTCTACAGAGAATAGAATGCTGCGCAAATCGTACACACCCACCTCCTTTTCCCTTTGGCCGCACGGATCCTACCGACTCAGCCAACCTTTCTCATCCATGCGTATATGCCTAACCTAACTCATTAATTCATAATCTACCCGCCCGTCTATGCCACGAGACCGTCCTACTCGTCGCAAGGCGAATACTGTCCTCCCATTCCCCAGTACTGCTCGGCCATGAACGTCGCCGCCTCGGCCTTCTTCCACATGTCGTTGAACGCAGTGAAGAGAATAAGGTTGCTAGCATTAGAAGCATAGGCCTTCTTGATGGTCGAGAGCGCCGTCGACTGCTGATCCATTCCCGGAACAGCCTCGCCGTTCGATTCTCCCTGCCAAGGCCAACCCGTCTCCGTAACCACGATACGTTTGCTCGAATCGGATAGCTTACTACGAATGTTACTAACGGTGGAAGTAACAAACGAGCCTGCTCCGTCGGGACCCGTGTTGGGATCGAAGAAGGGGTGGACGTTGACGGCGCAGTAGTCAGACTCGTCGCAGAGCTCGGGATGGGCGAGAATAGCGACGAACGTATCCACAATAACGACAGGTCCTTCATACCCGGCGCTTCTCAATAGGGAACGCGTTTGGCTCAATGCGCTGATACACTGATACACGGTTGCGCCACCGTCGTTGACTAGTTCGTTACCTACCGAGACGGTGTCGACGATATCCCAGTCGTTCTGGACGCCGGCAGCCATGGTAGATACTCCATCTTCGATGGAGTTGATGTCGAAAATGCCTAAGAATAACTTATTTCCATACTTTTTGGCAGCTGCATATGCTGTCGCTACCTGATCGCAATCAACGCCATACAAGCGAATGACGCCGTAGTCCTTGGCTATCAGCGCAAAGTCCGCATCAACCTCGTCTGCCGTCTTGCATTCTCCGTTACCTTTGTAAGGAGAGTAAGCAACGCCGTGAAGAGCGCCGCTGCTTGAAGATGGAGAAGCTGCTGAAGAGGACGCCGATTTCGAACTGGTCGGGTACGAATCGGCGGAAACGTGTTGAGAAGACAAAGCCTGCTGGGTAGTAGGAGAGGCTGCTTGGTACGAAGACGATTCAGATTGCACCACTGGCGCAGCCTTAGTTGACAGAGGAGAAATCTCCGTCGTTGGCGTCGTAGAAGTTGATGCTTCATACGTCTCTACTGATACGGGGACATAAACGACCGTCTCGATGGTGGTGCGAATCGGGTTGTTATTTTGATCTACATAGACCACGACTTCAGGGACTTCGGTAGTCGTACTGTATTTGGAATCAGTGACGGTGATTTTCTCCCTTTTCGCAATAGGGGCTCTGTTTGCCCTATGTCGGTGGAGATGTTGATGTTGATGTCCTGATAAACACATGAGCTCTTGTCCCTGGGGGGAGATAATAGATCAGAGCTGTGACTTACTCAGCTGCCCAGCCGACAGGCCGAGGAGGGAAAGAAGACTAAGAGAAAGTAGCGTAGATCTCATAATGTCGATATGTTAACACGATGCTGGGTATTTCCAGAATGAGCGTGATCGCGAAACTGCGAAACTGCGAAACTGCGAAAAACAAATAATGAGCGGCCTATGTTGTTAGCGAGGCAACGATTTACTTGAAGGAGCGACGAGAATAGAGACAAAAGGGGACATGAATGCGGCAGACGACACTCAACAGGTGTCCATTAGCTACAAGGACTGCGAGGGAAACAAAAGCAGACAAAGGAGTGTGGAGTGTAGTGAGAGCTTGTGCTGGTAGGTAAAGAGGACAATTAAGGGACTAGGTATGTATGTTGAGGTTCTAGATTCGAGGGACGAGGTGCCCGTCCAAGAAAACACATAGATAGTATCAGCATAGATAGTATCAACATAGCTGATCGTATGTGGCGGAAGTTGCCCCGGCATCGAAGGGGGAAAGGGGTAAACAAGATGTGGTGAAGGAATGATGGCGTTTGTAAAGGGGGTCATTATTATTGAATACAATGAATAACAAGGGAGAGAGCACCCACTATCTTTTATTCCCGATTTTAGACAGAGGTCATTATCGATGTTGCCTTATTTTTGAATATGAATATGATAGATAGGCTAATAGGTTAATAGGTAAAGTAAGGAGGAGTGATTGAAGGAGTGATTCGCAGTTGACCAGCTAATATCCTAATATCGCATATCTTGATTTATCGATAACCTCAAAGGAAGGTGGTTGGTTGTAAAAGAGAGTGTTTTATAGGTTAGGTGCCTACCTAAGGTATCGTAAGGAATGATGGCGGTGGTAGGTAAACGAGTTATCCGAGTTATATGAGATCTGGTGGTGTTAGCCTAAGTAAAATTCTCCTAGGGCAACGACATCGTGGGTCAAAATTTTTTTTTTTTTTTTCAATCTACATACAACGTCATCACAACGCGCGGCAAGAACGCTAGAGAAATGAGACCCACGCTTCCCTTCGGTCGAGAACCACATGACATAGACATCAATGTTTCACATTTCATCTAATAGTTCGTCCGGAAGGCACAAGGCACAAGGCACAAGGCACAATACCATGCCTGGTCCTTACCTGTAGATAAAAAAAAACAAAAAAAAAACAAAGACATCGGGCCCCATCGACTTTTCAGCCCTGGGCCCCCTGCCCCCTTTTCCATAGGATAAAAATAGATAAGTTCATCACAACGCCACAGTGGAACGTAACGTAACGACATTCGTAAGATAGAATTAGTAATTAGTATATGGTTCTAGTGTATGGTCTGATCCATCCGATGCCGGCAGTTTGCCTTTCCATCCTGAATATACATTCGTGGACCCTTCAATTATTAATCGAAACGGATTCGACTGCTTATCCATCTCAACCCCAGGTCATGCCCAGGTCGTCGTATAATAGCCATTACACATACAGCTACCTCATCTCGCGTCATATCGTGAAGCAACGTGAAGCAGTCGTGAATAACATCACGAGAAACTGAATGTCCTAAGCAGCTAGTGACGACGCCTGCCGGTTAGGTTTTCGGGTCATGATCTTGGTGATAGCGTGTCGAATCGTCGTCCCGGCCTTTTCGATTTCCTTCTTAGACAAACCCGACGTGATACAAACCTTCAAGGCAGGCTTAATATCTATGTCGTTCGTGCCGATGCTACCAATCAGTGGGAAGCTCTTCAGTCGCGTAATTAGTACACCGTTGGCGAGTGCCTATATATTTCTGTAAGTGGATAAACTTCGTTTGTGTTTTTCCTGTAAAACTTACCTCATCCGTAATCTCAAGGAACAGCCGCTCTTGATCTTCGTTGCTCAGTCGTCTCGACGAGACGACCTCAGGCTTGAACACTAGTAGCATGATCGGGTTCTCAGGGTCGCTTGTGCATCGGACCCATTCGCTACGGGGATCGAGTTGTGCCTTCATAGCTTGAATGTTTTCTCGGCATGCCAGTAGGATATCAGGGTTGCATTGTAGAACGTTCAACGTCTCACTAGCTGTGACGGCAGCCATAGCAGGTAGAGCAGCCGAGTAAGTGTACGATGCGGCATTGATACGCTGGTGCCGTATCACGTCCTTTGAACCGGCGCAGAATCCACCAGCAGCACAGAGAGGTCCAGCCATAGAGCCAATGATCATATCGACAGCCTCCGAGTCGACGTTCTGAGCCTCAGTAAGTCCTCGTCCATTACGGCCGAGTACGCCAAACGACCAAGTCTCGTCCAGAGCGATGCGGAACTTATATTTCTCCTTCAGTTCAACCTAACACGTTCAAAAACTGTCAGCACGCTATAGGACGGGATTAAGTTGGCATCGGAAAGGGTTGGCTTACGAGCTTAGGAAGGTTAGAACAATCGCCAACCATCTCGAAAAGCCCCTCGGTAACAATGAATCGCCTAGTCAAGATCCTCTTCTTTGCTTGCTCTTCGGCTACTTTCTTCATAACCTGTTCCAAGTCTTCCATATCGTTATGCTCGTACCATTTAATGATGCTTCGGGAAGCCTCTAGTCCTTTACGAATCGAGTAGTTTACCATCCTATCCGCTACGATGACATCACCTCGCTTGCAGAAGGTCGGAATAACGCTGGAGATGGTAGAGAAAGCGTGAGCGTAGATAATACAGCTCTGGGTACCGAGGAACATGGCGATATCGTGCTCAGTCTGCATGTGGACATCCTGGTTGCCGTAAAATTGTGGGGGACCGCAAGGGCCAACTCCGTAGGTGCGCAGCGTCTGGATCGCCTTCTCTTTAATCGGTTCGCTTGCGTTGAAGTTGTAGAAGTTGTAAGAGGCCAAGTTTACGACAGTTTTTCCGCTGGACAGTTTCACCTTCGGACCCGTCGGTCTATGTTGATACTGTTAGTAGTGACTACTGACAGACCGAGAGACTAATTCTTACCCAACAATAACAGGTTGCCTCTCAGCTTCTGCCTCCTCAAGCTGCGTCTGAGGAGCGACGAGCGGTTCGGGCTCCCAATCTCTAACGAGCTCGTCGATCTCGTCATCGCGGAGCTTCACGTAATTGGGATCGTGGGTAGGATAAGACGGCGACAGAAGGTACCGAACGAAGAATATCACGAGCACAAGTTCTATCGCAGATCGAACGGGGTCATTCTGGTAGCTTGACTGGATATATCGAACCAAAACAGCACTTCCAGGAACTTTCTGGAAGGCATGGGATATTTCATGAAGCGAAGCCTGCAAGTAGGCTTGCGCCTCGTGCAAGTCCATTTTTAGCAATTTAGTACGGTGACGACTATTGAAGAAGAGACATTGAAAAGTTCAATATTATAGAGTTAACGTTAACAACAGTTTGGCGTTGAATTTGTAGGTGAGTGTTTAGTGTTTTCAAGAATTCGGGGCGTGAGACGTGGATAATATTATCATAGGGGCAAAGGTCGGTAGCCATCTCAAATTGGAAAAGGGTCCAGCTGTTTCTCAATCACAATTACGGATTACCTAAGGTGCCTCAAACACTTCCGCGAATCCGGCACTAGGGGACATTACCTACGGATCCGTAGCGGCGTTCAATTGAGGCAGCCTAGACGCCCATTGGAAGCGGAAGCCCCACTTACTCGCATCAAGGCTAATGTAATGTAACTTGTTATAATCCCTTTAATTGTATGCATTGACGTAACTAATAGGTACATATACCTTTTAAGCACCTTTCAAGCACTTTTTACTAGACTTCAATCTCGCTACCTGCTACAGCAGCTTCCTGTTAACAAGGTCTTATGATATCAATGTCGATGCGACACCCGTAGAACAGCAATTTGTAAATTCATTCGTTACGCCTCAAGTGCCTTGATAAACGCCGGACTCTCGTTGCCCTCGACTACTTTGGAAATCGGCGTAAGATACGCTTTGCTATCACCAGATTCCTCCCCAAGCTGCCGAATGTATAATTCGGCCACTTTGATCCACATGGCCTTCTCTGTCTTGCTTGCTCCCGAACCCTGCCAGACCCAAATAGCGGACCCGGTATCCAACAGGAAGACATCATTGCTGTCTAGATCAGAGCTGTCTATTGTGGTGCCTTCTTTCACTACGTCGAATCTCAGCTGGCCGGAAGCATCTGACAGACGGAACAGCTTGCGAGGGCGATGATTGGCAGCATCTTGACTCTTGGACGAGATAATAGGCCGCGGTGCCTGAAATGGTCCTTCGACATCTTCTCCGCCTAGCATAGTAACGATAGTTCGCGATCTCGACTCCTCTTGCGCTATCACTTCGACGTCAATGTGTTTCGCGATGGTCATATCGTGAACGACTTGTGCGGCCTTAGCCTTCTCCATTGGGCTGCAGTTCTTACCCTGCCAGACCCAGATTTTGCCGTTGCGCTCCAACACGAAGACGTCGTTTTCGTCAAGATTCTGCCAGGTAGGCTCAACTTCGTAGATCAGGATCGAGTCGGCGCGTTTGGCAGTTGGGTGCTTGAAGATCCTGAGCAACGTGAGCGTCTCCTTCGGTTCCTCCTCGGTCTCGACGTGCGTGAAACCGGAGCGGACACCGCCAGATAGGATCCGGATGCGAGAGAACAGGGCCACGAAGTCATCGGAAGGCTCCTTCTGGAGCTCGCGGTGCTGTATGGCCACGCCGTGTAGAAACTCATCGAGTTCGACTGTCTTGTAGGCAGCGGTGCCCGCCTCATCTTGCGTTGTCTTACTTCCGAGCCAGAAGAAGATATCATGGGCCAGCTTTTCCTGACCATCCTTGCTTCCCACCTTGTACGAGTGTAAAACGATGTAACTGTCTCCCTCATGGAAGTCGCCGTACTGTTCCTTTGGCCATGGAACTACCTCGAAATCCTCAATTCGCCATACGTAAAGGCCAGGGGTATTTCCGACTTCTTGCCATGCCGGCTCACTGGCTGCTGAGTTGTACTTAACTTTATGATCAAGCTCTGTTCCAATGTTCTCGACATTGCTATCCCTCCAGTCGTAGTCTTTCATATGTACTAATCCTTCGTGTGGTGCCATCTCGACGATACGATGATGCCAGCTATGGAAGTGCACGCGTATTTAGTTGCTCCTTTGTGTATAGTACAGGTAGATGCGAAGAAATGATATTAACACGATACACCAATACGAATAAGAGGATGCTGTTGACGTAATGGAGCTGAGCTGGCAATGGGTTGTCTAGGTACTTTGAAACAGAATAAGGCGGGGGGCTGAAATAGCATTATCCTTATTAGTAGGGATACATATATCGGTCCATTGTGCATCCATTATGCACTTGGTTTGCTGCTCCCCGCCTCTCGTAACATCGCATCTATCACGATATGTTATCGCGGATTGGCTGTGGAATTTAGTAGAGAAAACATAGGTACCTACCTACTAACTAACATAGACTACTAAATTTAGAGGTAGATGGACTGTGGAGACCAAACATTCCCAATTATCCAGTTATAAACTGTAACTTACAGTGATATCAGAAACTTTTCGCCATCCAAAACCTCCGTCTCAAACTTATCACAATTACAGCAAAACAACTCAAGGACCACAAATCCACAATCTACACTATCGCCAACTTCCACTCTCAACCGAATAATCGGCAAAGCGAGAGCAGAAAAAGAAGCATGTCGGATAAAAACACCACATCCCAAGAGTTTACCTCCTATTACCTGCAACAAAGCACCAAGGAGTTCGCAGAGGACCTAGACAAGGTCCGCAACGCCGACGACTTCAAAGGCGATGCGGTAGCCATGCTCGTCAAGTCACTGCAGCAAGGCACGTCTCTATTCTCGGCTGCCGACCAAGAGAGAATACTGAAGGCGCGAAAATCTGGGGAAGAAGATAAATGAAGTGCGCATGCGCGAGGTGTACCCAACAGGTTGTTAGAGGCTGAGGGAGATATTCGGGTTTGAAGAATGAGATTATTTAGAAGGAACACACACTATTAGATAGTGTTCAAACCTAATCGCGACCTGATTCTGTAAAAAATTGAAAGGTCCTTTTTCTACGAAGGAGCAATATTACGTAATTCATTCAATCGGCAAATGCACAGCAACTGCCTGCCTTCGTGATTGATATCGAACTCACCTTTTTGAAAAACAATGTAAAATAAACATCGGAAAAGGGAAACACGAAGAGCAAAAGATATTAAAAATGACAATTAGGTATTCAAATATAGAAAAAGATCGACACGAGCAGGATTCGAACCTGCGCGTCCTAAGACATGAGATAGACTGGACCACAATATTGGGATTCAAGTCTCACCCGTTAGACCACTCCGGCATCGTGCCTTGATTTGCTGCTGTTGAATTGTGGCCCGTTATAGCGCTATAAGTATGTAGGTGTCTGCTTGCTGCCAATTCCTTAGCCCGGAAAACATTGCCAGACCTATCCATGTAGCCAATCAAGGCGTTCTAGGTTGATTTACATACATAGTCGTAAAGTGTAATCAAATTGAACTATTCTTATTGGTCGAGCGCTTGAATTGATTTGCTATATAATAATAACAACTGCTCGGGGAAGATTCAAGCAAGAATTATTCTCAACCTGACTTGGCTCTGTAAAGAATGGCTGGCTGGCTAGAGACCGGATCTGAGACATTAATTAATTAATGACTACATCTTGAGAACTCGGGTTTCATGGAAGGCGAAACCCTGTGATTAGACCTATAGGTATCTAGCAAGGAGCAATCTTGTATGATAAACTCGAAGACATTTGCATATGCATAAATCACCACCAGCTTCAGCTTTTACTGCTTAGTATAGAAAGTAATTATAATAACATCTTGCCCTAGCTACGACATTGACAAGTTTCTACATATGCATTACTACTAGCATCCACCAATAATGACGTGGTAACAACAGAAAAGATGCCCCTATAGATATGTATTCACCCGGGGCCGAAACCATGTCCCTAACTAGGAATTATTGTCGTGTAGTAAGCAATAACTAACGGGAAAAGAATACTTGCATATATCCAGGGAACTCCGACCATGATTTCGTAAAGAGGGAAGCCGGGAGAAAGTCTACTATACCGACTCCAAAAAAATTGTCTCGTAAGCATCATTCATTGCGCTATGAACCCAAAACATTGTGCGCGATCGAGGCACCACTAACCGATCCCCCCTCCCCCTCCCTCTCCACCCTCTCTACTGCTGATACGAAGACGGATATGAAACCTAGTCCTGAGCATCGCCATGAGATAGTAATAGCAACTATATAGTAGAGTGACACTGTTATCGTAATAAAACCGAGCTCCTCTGAACTTTCGAATCCCGTATGCGTAATATCATAGCTTAGCATCCCCCTAGCGTCGAATATCAAGACTAGCACGAGCAGACTCGATAGACGGGCGCACAGAACTGCTCGAACTTCTTCGTCTCCTTGCGCGTTGCTCGCTCGGATCCGAGGGGTTTAGTCCGGTAGATCTTGCAAAGAGGTTGAGAACGTCTGTCAAGGTAACGACGCCAATCAGGCGGCCAGATAGGTGAGACCCCGGTAGGGTGGAAGCTGGAGGGACCGAAGGGAAATGACTGCCGGTAAGAGACGTCTGCGAAGAAGATGGAGTCGGGATGAACACGGTGGGGCCTAGCGACGGGGTTCCTGGTGCGGAAGGAGACGGAGACGCAGACTCTACGATCCACATCCTATGTGAGCGGGTAGCAACTAGCTTGGCCACCGTGTGTGCAAGTGTTGAGTAAGGGTTAACATAGAAGACAGGGAATGAATCCTTCCCTTTCTCGACACCTTCCTCGGTCAGGATGACCGATATAAAATGCATGCACGAATTCTGTAGTAATGGGAGACTGGTTGCGTTGGTAAGAAGTTTGACGTCGGCCGTGGAAATATTGCCGACGACGTTTAAAGCGTTGTCAACCACGGCTACACTTGACAGGCCTTCCTGGTTCATAAGATTGAGAGCCTCTGTCAACGGGCTATCTGCGCTATGTGGTTGTTAGAGAATAGTTTAGGGTCAGAACTTAGGACTGGTAATGCACGTACTTGACAGCTAATATTTGCTGGGAGCCGACGCCAACCTCGCGCAAGAGCTTAGGGTACAGATCATCGATGACGCGGAAGTTAATGCCCTCGTGCCAGAAGAATTCTAAAAGCTTCAACTGGCTAAGGATACCGATCACTTCGGCATTGTGATTGCGGACGAGCACCCGGTGAACACCGCTGCCAAAGATCTCGATCGCCTTGGCCAGATCTTCATCTCCCTGAAGAGTGATAAGAGACTCTTTCCGACAAATCGGCTGGATGTCGCGGAGCGGTATGTTGTCTCTGGCCTGTGCTCTTCTTGCTATGGAATCGTACAATTCTACCAAGTCGTCGCTTGGATGCGCTAATCCGACTACGATTAAGATGTAAGCGTTTAAGTCGTTGAAATCGAATGTGGAGATGGGAATGGTGCCGGTAGCATTCTCTCGTATGATAACGACGTTGCTCGAAGTATTCTTAAGGAGCGCCTGAAGACATACAAGCAGTTAGAGATAAGCTGGATAAATCGATATTGGTGGATCAGGGTTAACTGTACCATTGTGGCATCCTGCACGCTGGTATCCAGTTCTACCCAGGAAACGTCATCTTTCGACACGAGCTCCCCGATTGCAACATCGCGCCAGTCTCTCCCGGCGAAGCGAGGATTCTGCTGCTTCGGAGCTGGCGGGTGGTTGAGCAATTCCTGAAGAGCGGCCTGGGTAAAAGATGGATGTCGCTGATTTCGCGGCGACGGCGGCAAGCCCCTCAGATTCTCTGCGAGACTGGAACGATGACTATGGCCTATGACATGACTGGATTTGTGCAGGCTCGAAGAGGAACCGGTTCGTTGAGGGGGTGGCGGTGAGATACTCGTTTCCTTGGAATCTTTACGTCCCCTAAAATAGAATGCATTAGGATCCATAGTGAAATGGTATTATATTAGAGCTGTTGACCGCAGCAGGGTATGTTCCTAGGAATATGGTGCAGTTATTCGCTCTGTCGCTCTGTCTCAAAGTCGCAAAGCCGCAAAGTCGAGGAGAGTCGGGATGGGATGTCTTGTAGCTTCGAAGCTGTAGCTACATCAATGTACATATAAATGTACATATACCTATAAGTACCTGTCTAGGTTAAGTATGTAGCTAGGTTACCTCTTAGTCTTGGCTTCGTCTATCCTACTTGCTCATATCTTAGACCATGGCTTTTACGGGATTTGTTATGGTGTTAATGGTGCTAATGGTTCTATACATGTGTGTGTGTATAGGTAAGGTTTGTATGCGTATATTTGATATTATCAAATGAGGATATTGTAGGTAGGTAGGTAGGTACCTTACATCATATACACTTCTTATGTAAAAGTAGGCGGTGCATTGATGAGACAAGACCATAAGGTCGTACCTACCTACCCCAAGGAAGATATCTCTTATGGTCCGAATTAATTATTCTAATTGTGGATAGCGTAGGTAACTACCCAGCTACCCCGTGAAATGGCAACCCCTCCTTCACCTTTCTACACCGTCACTCGTCACTCGTCACTCGTCTGTCATTAGCGTCAATCTGCAGCTATTTTATCAACTTTAACAAACCTAAAGTCTTCACAACTTAAAACAAAAACGCCACTGTTGGAGGGGTCGAGTACCTAAGGCAAGTGGGCCGATATAAAATAGTCTACTATGCATACCTTCTAACATCTAATATGGCTATAAAAACGAGGATTATACGCTATATCTGCAGTTCCATAAGGGAACCATGAGCTTGCAATGTTCTAGACGTACATGCTATCTTATGTCAACTAATAAGATATAAGAGTGATTAAGAGGTTGTAATACGTGGCATCGCAAATGGGTAGCGCATTTTCGGGATATAGAAAGCTGCAACCAATCGACTGGCAATTAACTGTGTTATGCGATACATGGGCCTTAAACATGCCAGACAAACATTCCAGATCCTAGTTAGGTAGTCTCTATGGCAATGACTCAATGGAATCCATTTATGCTGCACCCCATAACCTGGCTTAAGCAAATTTGGTGAATCGAGATCTTTCTAGTTTAAGTACCTAGGTAGATTCCACTCAGAGGCAGAATCCAAATTAAAAGGGTGATTCAATACCTAGGTACCTATGTAATCTTATCAGTAAGTACCCACCAGTAACTATCGATAAGCTGTTCTACCTAGGTACCTACTATGTAGTAAGTGATAACTCGTATGATAAGAAGGTTCTGTGCCTGACCTAAACCCAATTCAGCTAAATCACCCCAAGTCAGGCAATCAAAAACAGCCAGAAGCTGCTCTTTGAAGTTAGCACGGACGAAAGCATTCGTGCACGGACCATATAGTGCACTAGGAGGCCTAGGAATTTATTTTATTTTGGTGTTCAAGCAGCTTGCATTGGGGAAAGAAAAAAAAAGTCCATAGCGAAACCTCCCCTCTTTCGCGACCCCTCGCTACCATTGATGCCAAATAAAAAAAAACACGACAACGACAACACCAACATAGACAAACTCTTTTTTACTGCCGAACTATTTAGATCTACTATTAAGATCCCTTATACGAATCTTGCCGGACCTCACCTCACCTTGAGTATACAGGAATCTGTTCTATGAACTTGATTACTACTGTATCTTCGGCGCCCTCTACCTAATCTACGCTCAGAGTCCGTAGTAGGCCACCGCGTCTTAGCCCTGCGGGGCACAACATCTCGAAGCGATACAACTTTGACAAACTTTGATTTTTACCTACTAATATAAAACACCGCGCCTTCTTCTTCTTATTTCTTCTTCTTTTAGGTAGAATCGTTCGCAGCTCGCAGTTCGCAGTTCGCAAATCGCAAATCGCAAATCGCAAATCCGCGAATCCGCAAACCTACCTCGATTATCACAAATCATGTCGGTGCTTCCGGCAGAGACTCATGCAGAGCTAACGCAGCTCCTGCAAGCTCTGCAATCCTCGGATAACACTATACGATCTCAAGCCGAGGGGCATTTGCAAAATAGCTGGACCAACACCCGTCCTGAAATCCTGTTGATGGGCCTGGCTGAGCAGATAGCTGCTTCACCTGAATCATCCGTAAGCAATCTCTTTGATCGTCTTCTACTTGTTATGTTTTAAAGACTAACATAACCTATGTGCATAGCTCCGCTCCTTTGCTGCCGTCATATTTCGTCGAATAGCATCAAAGACACGCAAGAACGACAAAGGCGACAATTCTGAGGTATTTATATCACTACCTTTCGAGCAAGCTTCCGTTATCCGCCAGAAGCTCCTTGAAGCCTTAGCCAACGAGAGAGACCGCCTGGTACGGAATAAAATAAGTGACGCTGTTGCCGACGTCGCAAGACAATACTCAGAATCCAGTTAGTCTATTACCGATCCTCTCCTTTTTTTTTCTTACTTACGCTCACGATGCGTTCGCGACCACATCCTGTTCCACATACTGTGTTCCCTCTATTCCTAGGAGCAGGAATTGATAAGCGCTATAGCGCTAATACTAGACCCTTCGTGAGAACGACCGCTAACATACATGTCCCAGCCGAGCAATGGCCTGAGATTCTAGCCGTTCTCTTCAACCTGAGCGTGGCGACTGACGCAGGCCAACGCGAGACTGCATTCCGTGTCTTTGCGACTACACCAGGTATTATCGAGAAACAGCATGACAATGCAGTGTTGGATGCCTTCAACAGAGGATTCAAGGATGATTCTGTTGCAGTCCGCTTGGCTGCTATGGATGCCTTCGCATCTTTCTTCAGAAACCTCCCCAAGAAGGATCAAAATAAAGTATTTTCGTTGCTACCCGACGTACTCAACATCCTACCCCCTATCAAGGATTCACACGACTCCGAAGACCTCAGCAAAGCCCTGGTTGCCCTAATTGATTTAGCTGAGACCTCGCCTAAGATGTTTAGGCCCTTATTTCACAACCTCGTCATGTTCAGCGTCGGTGTTATACAGGACAAGGAGTTAAATGATCTCAGCCGACAGAATGCACTCGAACTCATGGCTACTTTTGCCGATTACGCCCCGTCCATGTGCCGCAAGGATCCCTCTTATACGACCGACATGATCACCCAATGTTTAAGTCTAATGACAGATCTCGGCGAAGACGATGACGATGCTGCTGAGTGGTTAGCATCAGACGATTTTGATCAGGAAGAGAGCGATTTGAACCATGTCGCAGGAGAGCAGTGCATGGACCGACTGGCCAACAAACTCGGAGGCGAAACTATTCTGGCCCCAACGTTCCACTGGCTCCCCAGAATGATGACTTCTATGGCCTGGAAGGATCGTCACGCGGCTTTGATGGCCATCTCGGCTATATCGGAAGGCTGCCGTGACCTTATGGTCAAGGAACTCAGCCATGTTCTTGAGTTGGTTGTTCCTGCGCTGAAGGACCCCCATCCGCGAGTTCGTTGGGCCGGGTGTCAGGCTCTTGGTCAGATGAGCACAGACTTCGCGCCTACGATGCAGAAAGAGTATTTTGATACTGTCTTGAAGGCCATCATTCCTGTGCTTGACTCCCCAGAAGGTCGTGTTAAGGCGCATGCCGCTGCCGCATTGGTTAACTTTTGTGAGGAGGCGGAAAAGAGTATCCTTGAACCCTACCTTGACCAATTATTATCCTCGCTATTCCAACTTCTCCAGAATGAGAAGCGCTACGTCCAGGAACAAGCACTCTCAACGATTGCCACCATTGCCGATGCCGCCGAAGCTGCCTTTTCTAAGTACTATGACACATTGATGCCTTTGCTCGTTAATGTCCTGCGGCAGGAAACCGAAAAAGAGTACAGACTACTTCGTGCTAAGGCTATGGAATGCGCTACTTTGATAGCATTGGCTGTTGGAAAGGAACGCCTCGGAAACGATGCTATGGTCTTGGTTGAGCTCCTTGCCAATGTTCAAGAACATATCACCGACCCTGACGACCCACAGTCGCAATATCTCATGCACTGCTGGGGACGCATGTGCAGAGTTATGGGCGCCGATTTCTTACGCTTCTTGCCAAATGTCATGCCTCCTTTAGTTGAATTGGCCAGTGCCAAGGCTGACATCCAGCTATTGGATACGGACGACGAGATTGAACAGATTCAGCAAGAAGACGGATGGGAGCTCGTGCCGCTCAAGGGCAAGATGATTGGAATCAGAACTAGTACTATGGATGACAAGCATATGGCCATTGAGCTTCTCGTGGTTTACGCGCAGACTCTCGAAGGTCATTTTGCTCCGTATGTCGCCGACACGATGGAGAAAATCGCACTTCCGGGTCTCGCATTTTTCTTCCACGACCCCGTTCGATTCATTTCGGCGAAGCTTGTTCCTCAGCTGCTCAGTTCGTACAAGAAGGCCTATGGTCCCGAGTCGAATGAACTTCGGGGTCTATGGGCCGGAACCGTTGACAAGCTGCTCGAGGTGCTTACTGCTGAGCCGGCCATTGATGCTCTAGCTGAGATGTACCAATGCTTTTACGAGTCGGTCGAAGTAGTTGGCAAGGATTGCCTCAACTTACAACATATGGGCAAGTTTATTGACGGAGTTCACTCGGCTATTGAAGACTACAGGGACCGTGTCTCTAAACGCGAAGAAGATAAGGAAGGAGCTGCCGCGGAGGATGCCGAGGATGAAGCCGAAGAGATCATGATTGCAATTGAGGACGACCAGACCTTGCTGTCTGATATGAACAAGGCATTCCATTCCATCTTCAAGAATCATGGTTCCATTTTCCTCCAGCCATGGGAACGCCTCATGGGCACATACGAAAGCTTCCTTACCTCGGCGGATCCTACGCAGCGCCAGTGGGGTCTATGTATCATGGATGATGTCCTAGAATATTGTGGACCAGAGAGTGTTCGTTATGCCCAAGCTATTAGCACTGCTCTCTTGGAAGGCTGTAAAGATCCCTCGGCTGCTATCCGACAAGCTGCTGCGTGAGTTAAATCCTACATCTTGGGTTATGATGCGGCCGATATGATATCGCATCGTAGCCCCTTTTCGATAACCACTAACATATTTTTAGGTATGGCATCGGTGTGGCCGCTCATCGTGGCGGGGCTCCTTGGTCTCAGTTCCTGGCGACGTCGATACCTTACTTATTCCAAGCAACTCGGATACCGGATGCGCGTGGCGAAGAGGCTGTTTACGCTACTGGTACGTCGCCCTGTTAAATTCAAGACGTATTTCAGAAGTCGCTAATGTGTGTACAGAGAATGCTTGCGCGGCTATCGCAAAGATTTTACACTTTAACAAACAGAGTCTACAGGATCCCCAAGCTATCGCAGCACAATGGTATGTATCCGGCACAGTCACAAATCAAACACAGCTACTAACTAGTTTGCTACTTAGGGTCAATACTTTGCCAGTAACAAACGACGAAGAGGCAGCGCCATATGCCTACGGCTATCTCGTGGAGTTGATCGAACAGTAAG